GCCCTCTCTCTCTCTCTCCTCTCTTCCTGTGTTTCTCTGGCATGCGTGCACATGCACTGCCTATCATTAATAAAATAATATCTATGTTTGTATATGTATAAATACATGTTTGTATATAGTTGTGTGTATGTGTGTGCATATGTGTGTATGTATGTGTATGTATAGACATATACGTGTATATGTGTGTGTGTGTATATATATTTAAAACATTTCTGATAAAAGTACATCCCAGATGGAGACAGATAGGGAAGAAGGTAAATGAAATAGAGCTATTCCTGGGCCCTACATCATGTAGGTGGCAACCCAAAAGGCCTTGACTTAACCTAAGTTGTAACAGAAAGCCATGTTATGGCAATAGACTCCTAACTCAGTCCCCCGAATTACAAGCTCCAATTCTGCAGGCATGGAGGAGAGCCTGAGGAGATGAGGCTGGTCCGGCTCATTTCCTGAAGAAGGGGCTTTCAAGATTTATAAGCAAATGTGCCAATGCCCGTGCCTTCTTGACATGAAGTGATTTTTATTCTTACAGGATTTGGCTCTAGAAGAGGCAGTTCTGGAGGAGCTGACGCAGAAGGTGGCCCAAGAGCACAAAGCCCACAGGTAAGGGAGGTAGTGAGCACAGAGTTGCCTGGACAGCAGATAGCTGCTGGCCGTGGGGCTGGTGCATTTGTTTCCCACTGTACTCCTGGCTTGTCTTCCACTACAGGCTGTCTTCCACTACGACAGCTCTGCCCTGCTCTGAGCAAGGTGTATGTAGACTTGAAACTGCTCCTTTCCCTCTTACTTTTCTCTCTCGTTTTTCTCATTCTCACCCTTCCCTCCCCTCCAATACCTTCTTTCTCCCTCCTTCCTTTAAGACTGCTCCTTTTCCTTCCTTCCTTTCTTCTCCCTATCACTTTCCCTTCCCCTCTCCCCATGTGTCCTTCCTTTCTCCTGCCTCTCCACCAGAAAGACCACCCAGATAAAGATTTTTTTGGCTAGGACAATCCCTCTCTGTGTCCTTCCTAAAACCTGCTGTCAAACCTGGCTTGGGGCTGCCTGTGCCCAGTGGAAAAACTAAAGTGCCACATTGGGTGGGAAGGTGAGACAGGGAAGGGGAATGGGAGAGCAGGGAGAGTAACTTCAGAGACCACCAAGAGCTTGACATCAGGGTCACTTGGAGCTGCTTGGACTAGTGGAAAACAAATGTCCTTCCTGTCCAACCTCAGAGGACCTGCGCAGTGCTCTGAGGCTCTCTTGTCTTGGCCACTTAACTTGCAAGATATCATCCTTATACATTTTTTTTATCATTTTTATTTGTTTGTTTATTTAAGTAGTGGAGACCTCACCCAGGTGGAAGAAAAAATAACTTCTTGTTAAAGCAGATGACCTTATTCATAGAGAAGTCTGGAATAATGTTTATAGGGCTGTGGCTCTTAATTAAATACCTTACCTTCCTATTTGTATTCCTTGTTGAGTGAAAGGCCATCAGGGGATGTGTTAATGAATTACTTAGTAATAGCACCAAGTTCTCACCGTTGGGTAATGATTGCTCTTCCCAGAAAGGAGCTTAGCCACAGCTCTGGAATTTGCCATCAAGAGGCTAGTGTCTGCCACTGACTTTGTAGCCCTTAACCATTTCCTCCTTTGCTGTTCTGGTTTCAGTGGAATCCTGCCAGCGGAAGCCGAGCTTATGTACATCAATGAAGTGGAGCGTTTGGATGGATTTGGACAGGAAATCTTCCCCGTGAAGGTAACATGTTAGGCCCTGTCCTTGCTTTCACCTTCTCAGAATGGCACTGGTATTTGAAAAGCCAGCATCAATAGAGTAAGGCAGAATGGCTTGGCCTTCTTGGTGCTATGTGGCCTTAGGTGGCAACTCCAGTTTACTTCAGGAAATAAGCACTTTAAAAAATTTATGTGTGTGTGTGTGTGTGTGTGTGTGCCCACGTGCGTATGTGTGTGCTATAGGGCATGCACACTTGCCAGAGAGAGAGAAAAAGTGAAAGTGAGAAATCATCCCTCAAGGGAGATGGCCATGCCATAGAACCTTCTCCTTCATTCTCTTCTTGGGATCATGGGCATGTATGCATACACATCCTGTATAGCCTTCAAGTCTCTGGGTCTGGGACTCAAACTTCTAAGTCAGCCATCTGGGACCCAGAGCCTCAACCACCATGCCATCTGCTGGCCCCACAAATGCTCTCACTTTCTTTCTTTCCCTTCTTGCCTTGGGATTTTGGGCATGCATGCAGATGTACCTGGCATGTTTTTCAGGCCATCTCATCTAGGACTCGAACCACATTGTTGGCCTTGTGGGATCCAGCACCTTAACCACTATAAATGCTTTTTCTAAATGCTAACCCCTAAATGCTTTTTCTTAAGAGATTTTGAATTCTTCCATGGTCTTCAGCAGAATACCTCATTTGTAAGACAACCATCTGAGTTGAGTTACCAGCCCATCTAGCACCTTGAAGGTATCACGGCTCACATCCAGACTTAAGACACACAACTGTCATGTGTACATTAATAAAGACACCAGCTCGTAGTTTTATTCCTTATGTTTATTCTCCTTTGAGTGAAGACAGAGATAATTGTTTGTGAATTAGAAGGAAACATTTCCTGTAGGCTGTCATATTTTGTATCTCTAGCTCTGTAGAGCCCTCCGTTTTAAGTTTCTAGCCCGCATGGCGTTTGGTGGAAACTGTACCTGGGAAACTGATAGTACTTTACATTCTGTACAGCGCATCCACCTCCTGAAGTGGGTGTGGTTGGAGGTCATGGTGCATGGTCATTTATAGAGCAGAGCCCGCAATCCAAACTCGTTTTCTTCTCTCTGCTGACCAACTTTACGAAAAATGGAGTTTTATCAGACACCTAAAGCAACTGGCACATTTCAACAGTTTGGGAGACGCCTGCAATTCCAGCACAAACATTTCACTCCAGACTGGCTCCACTGGCTGTTTATAAGTGCTCAGCTCTCCCTCTACTGCGCGTTTGCAATTTGCCTTAATGAGAACTGCCCATGTGCATCAAGCAGAACCGAGCAGGGTGGCCGCAGCTTGCGAAAGGGCTAAATGGCTCTTTTTCAGATCTGTTTAATTTTCTTTTGCTTCTCTAATAGCTGCCCTTCATAGGGTTGTAATCCATTTCCCTTGCAATAATGCCTTATGAAGCCATCTGCACCCCACTTAACATTTCAGCCGCCCATATATAGTCATGATATTTGGGGCCGTTGAAAAATCAGAGTAAACTTTCTCTCCACTTTGAAAAAAACTGACTTTTCTATCCCTGCAAGTTGGGGGTTCTGTTGTGGTCATTTGCTTATGTTTTTTTTTTTTTTTTTTTAAGTAAGTCTAAGCTTTGGAAAAGAGGGGTGCTGAGGATACTGTTGAAGAGCACTGTGCTTGGCCCTGATACACTTTCTAGTACGTTCATAGTGGGACCAGGGGGTGGTACACCTTCCTCTGCGTGGGAAGACAGGCACTGCTGACTCATTGCTGGTTACATGACTTAGCCAGGCTGCTGCCTTCTGTTCTCTTCTCCCTATGTATCTGTGTATGACTAAAGTGACCACATGCAGACCACGTGTTGACCACCTGGTCACCCCAGGATGTTGAGTGGAGGTTGTGATGTGGTCAGCTCTGGGATGTGTGAAAAAGCAGACAGGGCCCTACCATGAGCAGATAGTGAAGGCAATAGGTCATCTCATGCTCCTGAAGTTCCCAACAGCAGTTGGCATCCCACTCTCGAAAGTGAATAGAAGCCAAGCACCACCCTTACAGGATGCCCTTGTACGTAGGATAGAGGCCAACACAGAGTGAAGGAGCTTGGAAGACCTAAGAGTCTTTATAGAGAGAACAACCCACTGGTCAAAGCACTGTCCAATGAGTCTTTGCAAAGATTTACAAAAATATATTCTCAGAAATTAAAAACTGTCATATAAAGATGGAAAATTTAATAGATCAGGGGCCAGCAGGTGGTGTGGTGGTTAAGGCAGCTGGACTCCCACATGGCTAACTGTGGTTCAAGTCCCGGACCTGGCAGCTTACTTCCTTGCTTTCCTTCTCTCTCTCTGACGTTCTCTGGTCAACTTCAAAAAAATAAAGTAATGACAGTGAATAAAAGTAAATCAGTTCTTGGGAACCAGCAGTTAGCTTAATGGCTATGTCACTGGACTCCCACGTAGTCGACCGCGGTTCGTGTCCTGGACCCGGTGGCTTAAAACTCACGCCGGGCGCGTGTGCGTGCGTGCCCAAGATCCCGAGAGGAGAATGGAGGAGAAGGGATTGCGGCGTGACCATCCCCTCTCGGGGATGATTTCTCGCTTTCTGACTCTATGTCTCTCTCTGTCTGTCTGGCGAGCGCACGCGCCCTACAGTGAAAATCTCTCCAAAAAAAAAAAAAAAAAGTAAATCAGTTCTTTTTTTTGGGAGAGGTTTTCGCTATAGGGCGCGTGCAATCGTCAGACAGACAGAGACAAAGAGACAGAAAGCGAGAAATCACCCCCCAGGGGGGATGGCCACGCTGCAATCCCTTCTCCTCCATTCTCCTCTCGGGATCTTGGGCACGCACACACATGCGCTCAGCATGAGTTTTAAGCCACCGGGTCTGGGATGCGAACCGCGGTCGACTACGTGGGAGTCCGGTGACATAGCCATTACGCTAACTGCTGGTTCCCAAAGTAAAGCAATTCTTAAAAAAAGAAAAAAAAAAAAGATGTAGAGGAAATTTCACCAAAAACCAAAGTACAGTATGTGGAAATAGAAAGCAGAGAAAGGAGAGAAAAGACCCATTGAAGATCCAACATAATGGGAGTTCTAAAAAGGGAGAACAGAAGGTGGGGGTTCTAGAAGTTGTCCTGTAACTGACTGTGAGGGTCTCTGCTGATAGGGCCAAAAACACATTCTGGGGCTTGAAAGGAGGTGAAGGTTGCTGCCTCTGGGGAGAGGATGCAGTGGACCAGGTCTGCTATGGACTTTTATAAAAATAAGCCCTGAGGAATATTCAGCTCTTCAAAGTATGTGCATATATAACTTTGATGTTAAAAAACAGAAACTAAGAAGGGAAGAGATCATAATAGATATTCATGAAAGACAAAGTCAAAATGGCTAGGAAATCTGAGAAAGATCCTAAAATTTTCACTCTCTTTTTAAAGTTTTTCTGTTGTAGAACATACATGTTCACCAAAGAGAGAGAGAGAGTAAGAATGAAGAATCACCCCCTGGGGGGGATGTCCACAATACCTTCTCCTCTACTTTCTTGTCAGGATTTTGGGCATGTGCACGCACGCATACCCAGTGTGATTTTTTTTTAAGCCACCGAGTTCAGGTCTCGAACCATGCAGTTGGCCATGTAGAATCCAGTGCTTTAATTTTGATGCAACTTGCTGGCCCCTAAATTTTTCTCTTAAACTGGAAATGTGTTGTGACAAAGTGAGAATAAAAACTTCCATTAGGAAGTTCAGTGGGCGAGTTCCTCCAGGGCCTGCCCCACTGCCAACACACACACACCGTGGACTGTCTTACTGCTTTGATGCTGTGATTCATGCCGCCTATGGGAGAAACAGGCCATGCGATCCAAAGATGGACCGCAGCCAAAGCTTGCAAGACTGCTGGTGAGCCTTTTTATAACACTATCTCAATAAATATAAACTCCTATTTAAAATTATTTTTAAAAAATTGTTTTTAGAGAGATTTTTGCTATAGGGCACACGTGTTCACCAGAGAGATAGAAAGCAAGAAATGAGCCCCTGAAGGATGGCCATGCCACAATCCCTTCTCCTCCCTTCTCCTCTTGGGATTTTGGGCATGTATGCACAGTTTTAAGCTGCTGGGTCCTGGACTCGAATTGTAGTTAACTTCATAGGAATCCAGCAACATAAACATTACACCATGGTCCCCCCCAAATTTATTTTTAAATAAAAGTTGTACACATTTATGGTGCCTATCATGTTCTTTTGCAATCTATATATATATATATAGACACTTTGGAATGGCTAGATTGAATTCATTAACACAGGTATCACCTTACATAGTTAACTATTTGTGATGAGAGCACTTAGTGGTTACTTTAGAAATAGTTTACTTCTTCCATGAGAGAGGGATACAGAGAGAGAAAAAGGAAGAGAGAGAAACAATCCCAACAGGGTTTTCACACTACAGTCCATCCCCATGGTAACCAGCTGAGATCATGGGCACCTGTACAGCTGCCTGGGATGTGAACCCAGGATCTTCCCCATGGGAGTCAATTGTGCTACACACCCCCAACCTGGCTCCGCACAGGAATGTTCAAGAGTACTGTTTACCCGTAACAATTGTTATCACCTATTGTTGCCTTATTGTACACTAGAGCTCCTGTCCTTAGTCTCCCTGTGAATTTTGTGTCCTTTGATCAGTATCTCCGCAGTCCCCCACCCTACAGTCCCTGGTGACCGCCTTTGCACTCTGCTTCTATAATTTCAACTCCTTCAGCTTCTACATATAAGAACACGTGGTATTTATCTTCTGTGCTTGGCTTATTTCACTTACCATAACATTCCACTGGTCTATACATGTTCTTGCAAATGACAGGTTTCCTTTTTTCCAAAGGCCGAGTGGCATCCTGCTGTGTATGTATCCCACATTTTCTTTCTCTGTTCTTTGCTGGATGGATGCTGGGCTGTTCCACGACTCAGTATTGTGGATGGTGCTGCGGTGAACATGAGTCATCATTTGTGTCTAATGTTGATCTCACACAGGACAGTCACGGGAATGGTGTGCACCTTGGCATTTTCTTTATGGGGATTTTCGTGAGAAACAGAATTGGAAGACAAGCAGTAATATACAGGTAGCCTTATTTGTCTTTTTTCCCTCTCTCTTTTTCTCCTTGAGCAGTGCTAGATAAGCCACACTGAGTATTAAACTTATCCAGATGAGTTAAGAGGCAGGCTATAGATCAGGGTTGAGATTTTCCCAATTCAGTTATGGGCAGCCCTCCACAGGATTTCAGTGGTTCTGGAGAAATTCATCTTGCTTTTCCTGGAGGCCTGATGGCAGAGGGTAAACCCTTTTTTTTCCCATTTGACCCCAAGAAATAGGTTCTTGAGCCTCCCACCCCATAATGCCCAGTCAGAGAGGAACACACTTTGAGTATGGCTAGGCACCAACCCTCTAGTCAATCTCCTGGTTTACCTTTGTCAGGATTAACCATGACCAGTTGTTAAATCCAAACTGGGTTCTTCCCATTGCCCTGCACCCTCTGCCTAAGCCAGACGCCAGTGCATAGTGTGGTGGTTAAGGCATTGGATCCCACATGGCTGACTGCGCAGTTCAAGTCCTGGACCTGTTGGCTTGAAAAGCATGCCAGGGGCATGTGTATGCATGCCTAAAATCCCAAGAGGAGAGTGAAGGAGAAGGGTTTGGCATGGCCATCCCCCTTGAGGGGTGCTTTCTTACATTCTCTTTCTGTCTCTCCCTGGCAAGCACACATGCACTATAGCACACTTTTTTTAAAAAGCAAAATGATTTTTAATTTTTATATGAACAAAAGAGTTTTTTTGTTTTTTTTTTTTGTATAAGTGTGTGTTTTGGAAGAGTAGATTTATTTTGGTAAAGGACTCTTGATACTTATTATTTTGGCACTGTAACCCTCTTCATCCTTTATCATGAATAGAACCAGTGTCGGGATGTGGCCAAGAGTCCCCTCCCCCATCACACATCTGTGGTGTGTGTTGCATCACAGAATCCACGTGAATTCTTTGTGTTGTTTCCTGGGAACACACTACTTTTTAATACTTGGCTGTTAGAAATGTCATGATGCATTTTTGCATAGAAAAAACATCATGACTTTTCCAGCAATCTAATAATATGCTCCCCCATCACTCAAAAGCAGGGATCATAGAAAATATTTTGTCAGTTTGGAAATACAAAGAGGGAAAAAAAACATAGGAAAAGTTCCTTGTAAATTTGCTTTATAATAAATCATACATGATGAGAGGACTTTAAAAATTTGTGGAAAAATGGAATTAAGCTGTGAGTTTATTTTGCTGCAAAGATTTTTCAGAGTTTTTTTTTATAATACATGTTTTTAGTGAACTTATTTGAAGACCTCTCACATCTAAACAGCGCTATCCAGATCTGTTTAACATAGTAGGATTTTTAACTATTTAAGTAGTTATATGTTGTATTTTTTAACTCTTCTTTGAAAGAAGAAACATTCATCTTTTTTTGGGGGGGGGCAAACTGAAAATGGTGTATGTGCTCACTAGAGAAAGAGAGAGAAAGGGAAAGTGAGAAAGCAACCCCAGGGGCAAGAGCCACAGTGTAATCCCCTCTCCTCCATTCTCATCTTGGGATTCTGGGTGCACAAACACACACGTGCCCAGAGTGTTTCTTAAGCTACTAGGTCCATGCAGCTGGCCCTGTAGGATCTAGCCACTTCAACTACCATGCCACCAGCTGACCTGGAACATTTAACTTTAAAAATAAAGCGAAATTATAATTTTATAAAATCAGACAACCCTCCTGTGTAGGATCACAAATGCATGGAACATCTCGGGACAAACCATTACGTTTCTTTTTGACCAGGTGGAATGATATTGGGAATATCACAAACAACAAGTCGACTATTCTGGTAGAGCTCATCAACAAAGAAGAGACAGCTCTCTTTCACACGGTAAGCAGAAGGACAAGTCAAGGCAGGGTCCCACAAGTAGCTTGCTATTTGACTTTTCCATTCATAATGCACTTTCCTTACTCTATATCTTGAAAAAATAAATACCCAGTTGAATGCTTACTTTCTAATCCATGCCCAATGCTGTCCTTACTCATTCAAGGATAGCAGGGGTGAAATACCACGTTCAGAATGCTAGGTTTCCAGGATGACTTTGGCTGTAGGAGTTGGTTCACCAGGTGTCATCTTAGCTAGGCTGGCTTGCCTTGTCTGGAGGGCTGCATTTCTCCTCTAGTTACAGCCTTCATGGAATTTGCTGGCCGACTTGAATGGTCTTTTCCATCACAGCCCAAGCTTAGTCTGAAGTAAACGGGGTGACTGGCCTTCTGTTGAGTGCTTCATCGAGGTTCGAGGCTGTTGGTGCATCTCACCGCCTCCGACTTACTGATGCTGGTGTTAACCCCATGTTCTGCCTTGATTTAGCTATTTATTTTTAAAACATTTGGTTTGGAATTATATGCAGACAACACCAGTTCATCAGTGTCACCCCAGCTCATAGGACATGAAAGACTCTTTAGAGTTCTGCCATTCTTTGGTGGGCTTTATAGGCCTAGCCGTTGCTGAAATTCAGTAAGTTGGTTTATTTTTCTGTCCCAGCATGTGATTTTGTGCTTGAGATAAATGGACAAAGGGTTCTGTCTCTGCTCAGAAGAATCCTCGTGAAACGTATAGCTAATCAAACTAATGTTTGTTTATTTTTTTTGTCTCTTTTTTTTCCTCCAAGGATGATATTGAAAATGCCAAGTACATTTCCCGGTTGTTCACTACACGGCACAAGTTTTACAAACAAAACAAAATCTGCACCGAGTGAGTGAACGTTGAATCCCTCTCACTACATGGCTTTGGCTGTACAAGCTCATGTGCTGGGCCACTTTTCCCATTCATTCTTTGCCCTTGTTCCCTGTAGAGCTAAGGAAGTAAGCTGAAGCCAAGCGGGAGGGAGGGAATGTGTGATAAAGACTGTCTAGTGTAGTACCTGTGGCTGGAGAGAAATAATTCACAAATTGACTGTGAAGGCTCAACTGCCTGGATGGGTTGGCCCGCATTAGTGCCTTTCCAACCCTGCCCTGTGAGTTCGGAGGGGCCGCGCAGCTCCCAATTTGCCAGGGTGCCCCTTGTGTCAGATGTGGCAAGTGTTCAGAAGTGGGTAGCCGAGCGACGAGCCAACTTGAAAGAGAAGACGCTCCTGTCATCCGCAGCCCCGTTTCGCTTACACAGTTGGCTAACCCTGCGTGTGCTCCTGGGTCATGTCATCTGACTGTAAATGAGAGGCCAGGGTAATTAGAGGAAGATTTGGAAGACACTCATAGATGTGACAAATCCGTGTGTATTTTTTTAATTTAATTTGGAAATAAAGATGATAAAGGGGACCATGATGAGGGAACTTCATTGTGGCCTGACCTCCGAGGTGGCGTGCTGGGCTCACGCTGTCCTCGTCTTTACCTTGGTTGCCTTCAAAAGACGTTCCTCAGCAGAGTGCGCTTGGCAGTTTGGGCACCCAAGGTTTTTAATTTGTTTCAGAGAGTTCAGGGATGTAAATGTAAGGGAAGAACTGCGTTTCCACCCCCACGGTGGACACATCCAAGAGTGTGTTGAATATTGTCCTAGAGCAGTTCCTGCAGCTGCCTAATCACTGGATCACCAGGTCGTGGCAGACTTGTCTGCTCATGGTGGAGACCCTTTCAAACCACTCAGTGCAGATGGTCACTGTTGGGGTCTGAATATATATCTGATAGTATTAGGCCCACAGCAAAGTGCAAATGTGAATCAGAAGAGCTGGGCAGGGAGTAGCACATAGCAGCCATACTTTCTTATAGACCCCCTCTCTCCTGCAGTTCACACACCATCCTTCCCAGGAGATCCTTGGAGGTCACTTGTGTGTTATTCTACCTTGCTGTGGGCCTTGACTTGTGGGGGTGTCTTTGACATTAACAGGAATTCTATAGTAGACTTTGGTAGGGTGAATTAAAAGATGGTTTTGAGAGGTAGATTTCACTGTCATCTTGGTTTAACCATTTCTCAGTAAATGGCCTTACTGTAAAATTTACTGAGTATTTGTATTTCTTAGGTGGTTTTCTGATATAAGTGAACATCACATATTAGACTGAACACAAAGAAGTAATTATGTTTTCTATGTAAAAATGCATCATGACTTTTCTAACAATCCAGTAATGTATGATTTGATTAAAAACTGGGGCAGTCTTTCTAAAAAGTACACACACACTCCACATATACATTAAATTCTCTATATAAGGGGACTGTAAAAATTTCATAGAAAAATTAAATGAAAGTACAAGTTTATTTTGGTAAACATGCAGAGTTTTGTCATAATATGTGATTTCCCTGAATGTTTTGAAGATCCTTTCTGGCATTTTGGAGGCTCAGCTTAGGTTCTATAAAGACTGGAGGTACCTGTCTAGAGTTTGGCCAAACTTGCACCATCTTAGGGGGCATCTTTCTCTATGCACAAACCGCATTTTCTCCAAAGGTCTCCACTCTCTACCTCCAAACTCTGAGTAACTGATTCTCTGTTCCTGTAGAGGTGTGTTCCTCATCTGGAATATAGCCCCAGGGCATAGCTCAGTATTCCTTAACATGGGGAGAAAAAAATAAGGGGAGGGTATTTAATGTGGATCTGATAATATTGTGTATTTGGTCAGTCATCTGAGAAAATCCAACATTATGATCATATTGCCTTCATTTATAAAAGAAAATGTATTTGTCACCAAAAAGGCAAGAAGAATTAAATCTAAGTAGGGAGAATCCTTTCAATTGAATAATTTTAGCTTGATTAAAAACTTAATCATGGAGACTAGGGAAAGTGTTACCTATTTGGGACACATTACTTGTAGGTACCTTTAATTTCAGTTCTCAAGAATTTGACATTATTTCTAGTTTATTTTTAGCTCTAATTTTTTAAATTAAGTTCATTTTTAGTCTAGAAAAGATTTGATCATATAAATATTTGTAAAATGTGTTATCTCAACATAAATGACATTTTCATAGCTATAGTTAGAAATATTTTATCTAATTTTGATTTTTATTTCACTAGAAGATTATTAAAATATTTTTCCTTCCTGCAATTTTTTTTAAATTATAAAGATTTTATACATACACAAAGGTACATAGAGCACATTTTTTAGTTTTTTTTAAGAATTATTTTATTTAACTTTATTTATTTACTTATTTTTAATTTGACCAGAGAGGGACAGAAAAAGAGCGAGAGAGAAAGTGAGAAAGCAAGCCACAAGGTCCGGGACTTGAACTGTGATCAGCCATGTGGGAGTCTAACACTCTTAACCACTGTTCCACCTGCTGTCCTCTATAGAGTACATTTTTTAAATCCATGTAATGACGGTAATATATTTTTAGTCTTGCTTATTTTCCTCACAATCTTTCTATAGAAATAAGCTTCATTCTTTTAATATTGCTTTGTAGAACTTAAGTATCATGTGTTCCAAACATTTTTAAACTTAAAAAATACAAAGAATGAAAAAAAAGGAAATATTTTTAAAAGCAGTGTTCATGTTTTGGCATCAGTCTTACCAGTTTTGTGTACCTTCCCCTTCTGTCTCTGTTTGTCTGTCTGGTCTTTTTATATCTGATCAATAATAACCATTCTCATTTTTTCACCTTTTCACTTAGACAATCAAATTCTCCACCTCCCATCAGACGCCAGCCCACCTGGAGCCGGTCCTCTCTGGTATGTAGACAATGTTCAAAAACTAAGGAGTCTGACTGTTGAGTGTTCTTTGTTTTGTTAAGGGGTGAAATGGCTAGGGCATCCTGATCAGGAGACACCTCATGAGAACAGAGGAGGACATCATTCTGCAAAGCAGCTGTGATGCACACTTGTGTTGTCCCCGAGAGCCCCTCCCATGCCAATCACCCCTCATAAGTGTGGTTCAGGATTCACTGTGTAATAAGTCTGATTCCAGGCTAACAAAACCATGTTCCTTTAACATATAGCCTGTGTGTTTTCATCTACTGCTTATCTGTCCTGGTTGTTGGGTGAGGGGACATCTTCATTATAAGCTTCACAAATTCTTTTTTATTCACGGCCATAGATAGAGCTTAATAAATTAGTCAGAAAATGGTTAACTAAGCAAAAATTGAATTGGTCTGGTTGATAGCCTCAGGTAGAATATTTGATGGGGAAAGTTGATTGTACACTTTCTAATTTTAGTGCTTTAATTAGCCAACATAATTTTAATTGATCTACTTCCTTTCTTAAAAAATTTTTGCCAGAGGGTTGGGATCAGTGGATCGCCAAATGGTTATTTTGTTGGATTCTCACATGGCTAACCGCGGTTTGAGTCCTGGACCCGTAGGCTTGAAACTTACACTGGGCGAGTGTGTGTGCTCAAAATTCCAGAGGAGAATGGGGAAGGGATTGTTGTGTGGCCCTCCCCACTGGGGGAAGGGGGGGAATTTCTCACTTTCTGTCTCTCCCCCTCCGAGGAGCACATGTGCCCTATAGCAAAAATCTCTTTTTTTTTTTTTGCCAGAGGGCACATGTATTCACCAGAGAGAGAGAGAGATTGGTGGGGGTTCGGAGGGGGTTACAAAGACCCAAACCCACCCATGGGAAATAGTCACACTGCAATCTCTTCTCTGTCTCTCCCTTCATTTGGATTGTGGACACACACACACACACACACACACACGTGACTGGTGTGTTTCTCAACCTTCAGCGCCATACCACCAGCTGGCCCTGTGTTTTATTTTAAGGATTACTTAAACATAATGTAATAGACAGATGCAAAGAGTTTCATGTCTTTTGAAGTGTTCTTCTTCTTTTAACTCACAATTCTTTAATTTTAGGTTATCCTTTTCTACAAATTCAATATAAATGTGATATTTTTCTAGATGAACAGTTCCTTCCAGTTGATAGACTATAATTGAATTTTTCATCATGTGCCACACATACACTATAGTATGTTTTCTGTAACTTTTTAAAAGAGAAGTTTAAAAACATTTTTTGGAAAAATATATAAACAAGGACTTTTAGAATTCTATAGCTGAGTCATTTTTATCAGCACATACTAATTCCCAAGTACCGCTAAATATTATTCATCTCAATTTATACACGATATAATACAGGTGGAGCATTCCTAAACCCAAATTTAAAATGCTCCAGAATCCAATGAATATGTATTTGTGTATCAACGTGACACTACACGTAGGGAATTCTACAGCTGGCCTCATGTGACAGGTCACAGTCAAAATGCTGCAATATAAAAATATCATATAAAATTACCTTCAGACTATGTGTATAAGGTGTACATGAAATATAAAAGAATTTTGTGTTTTGATTTTTGTCCCATCCCCAAGATATCTCATTATAGATATGAAAATATTCCAGAATTTAAAAAATCTGAAATCCAAAACACTTCTGGTCCTAAACATTTTAAATTAGGGACAGTCATTCTGTATGTCACATGTGGTCTTTTGCCTTGGGGATTTATAGGGACATGTTGGACTTTCCCCCTGGGTCACCAGTAGATTTGTCTGTGGCCCAGTTGTTTCCTTCCTTCCTTCCTTCTTCCTTCCTTCCTGTTTTTGCCACAAGGTGCATGCACTTGCCAGAAAGAGACAGAGAGGAAAAGTGAGGAATCACTCCAGGGGAGATGGCCAAGCCACAGTCCCTCCTCCTCCAGTCTCCTCTTGGGATTTTGGGCACACGTGCCCTGCGTGATTTTCAAGCCATTGGGCCCGGGCTTCGAACCATGGTCGGCCACGTAAGAGTCCAACGCCTTAATCACTGTACCACCTGCTAGCTCCTGTGGCCCTATTTCTTAATCTTCTACTTTATTTTTTTTTCCCCTTTTTTCAGGCCATATGTCTTAATTCGTGAGATGAGGTTTTTTTGCCTGTGTCCATGAAACACCTTGAGAGACCAAGTGTTTTAAAACTGTCTTGGGATTTTACCTAATTATCCAGAAATGCAGATGTTTACGTATTTTATTTGAATGAAGATAGTCTACAGGAAGCCTGACTGAATTTGTGGACTCATTCTTTCCCATGCTTTTCGAACTATTTCACTTAGGGTGAATGCGATTAAGGCCAGAGTGCATTGTCTTTTGGCTTCCTGGCAGATAACCCATGGCTGCCCATAGCTGGTTCTCTTTCCTTCCTTCTGCCCCCTGTGTTAGGGCATCTAATTTGTTTCTATATTAGCAGAGCTAGGAAGAAACGGAATAATATTGGAATATATAAAAGAATTAAATAAACAATATAACCCTGAAATTATGTCTGCAGGATTAGTTACTATGGTGTTTTGTCTGTATTCTGATGCCAATTCGTATGAATAGGAGGAATCGGGAAACCAACTTTGTCTTGCCATATATTTCTATGATATAAATCCTGCCCACTGTTTTTTTATTTAAAAAAAAAAAAGGTTAAAAAAGGGGTGGGGGAGGCCTTAAAACCATCTGTTCTACCGTGGAAAACTTGAGTTGAATTACTTACAGCCAAGAGGAAAAATATTTTTAAATTGCAACTCAAACTTCAGCTAGGGGAAGACTTGGGAAGATTTAGGAGTGCTGCAGCGCCTCTTGATACCCCGAATTCTTCTAGATTGATTTAGTTTCATTTCCTCATTTGTTCCCTCTCAACTTCTTTTAACTTGGGGACCTTTTGTCTTCATTGCCTTCATTTGCCCATTCAATGCTCAAACATTGTGTGTAGCAGAGAAAAGCAGAGGTGAGTTATTTCCCCAGCTTCCAAGTCTGGCAAGTGCTCTTCTTCCACAGAGGATTGCTGAGAAACCGTGAGCCCAGCTGGCATTGGGTTTTCTGAGTTTGATCTCAGCTTCTTCTCTTCTAAAACAGCAACCTTTAAAGTAGTATCTGTAGGGCTAGTAGAAATAGAAGAGGTGGGACCAGCAATTAGCGTAATGGCTATGTTGCTGGACTCCCACGTAGTCGACCGTGATTCAAGTCCTGGACCCAGTGGCTTAAATTCACGCCAGGCACGTGTGCGTGTGTGTCCAAGATCCCGAGAGGAGAATGGAGGAGAAGGGATTACGGCATGGCCATCCCCCCGGGGGGTGATTTCTTGCTTTCTCTCTCTGTCTGGCGAGCGCACGCGCCCTATAGCTAAAACCTCTCAAACAAACAAACAAAAAGAAACAGAAGAGGTTATCCTATTTGGTGGCTTACAAACTTAAGAGTTTTTCTTTTTTTTTTTTTCTCCCACAATAAAGCTTTTTAATCAAGCCAGCTCTTCTCTGGAACTCCAGTATCTAAATTAAATGGATAATGTTTGAGATGGGAGAAGAGGCTTGATCTGATGGACCAGTAACTAAGACCTACTGAAGTTAAATGACTTGGTGTAGCTCACACTGGCCCAAAAATATCGTACTTTCTTTGTTGACTTACTGAATACGTAATCTAAGTGTTTTCTTTTCCCTTTAAAAGTTGTTCCCTCTTCTGCAGCAGGAAGTTATTGAGGTCAATTTGAAATGACCACCTTTAAGAGTCTAGTGGAGAAGATTATGCACTGGGCAGGAGTAAGGGGTGGGAGATGGTTGAACTGGACTCCCTGCCACCCTTCCCACATTCTGCTCTACACTGGGGAGGGTCAGTAAGTCACTCACTGTTGGGAGTCACATTGTCGGTTTTCACAAAATCTTAACCACCGGACCTCACTTCACACGGACCTTGTCCCTATTTCTGTGGCTGCAGAAGTCAGTTTTGAATAGAATGAAACAGTTTCTCCTTTCTTTTCTTATTATTTCTTAACTAGGTCATCTTAATATACCCGTTCTAAGTTATTCCTGTTAAAGAAGGTGTGGGAACCTTGCAAGAAGTGTATTAGAAAATAGATAGTAAATGTCTACTTTTAGTCTTGATTGTCATCTCTCTCTCTCTCTGATCCTGAACTATCTTTCCATCTTCCCTGTTTTTTCTCCAGTCCCAAACGTAGTGAAGAGGTGGGGTTATGGATGAGAAGCGGGTGGGGTCGACGAGGTGGCAGGGAGCATGGCTGCACTGTGCCTCTCTGTTAACGTGAGTGGTGGGGACTATCTGTGCTGGGGCTGGTTCCATGCAAATCAATGGCCGTCTCTGTCATGGCCTCCCACCTCTGTGTGTTCTTGTTTCAGCCCAGGCAGCAGCCGTACATCCTGCCTCCCATGCACGTCCAGTGTGGTGAGCACTACTCGGAAACACACACGTCACAAGGTAACTGGGGCTTGCCATTAACGAGAAGTTGGGCCAGCTGCAGTGGCCCAGTGATAGCCCAGGGCTCAGTGATGCTGAAGCCACGTGGGAGGGTCCCAGGTTTGCCTCCTGGAGTCTCCCTGGGCGTGTGCATGTGTGTGTGCTCATAATCCTGTTAACTGAGGAGGGAATGAGTTGCAGTATGAAAACCCTGTTGGGGGTGCATGTCTGCCTATCTGTCTGTTTCTCTTGTGTCTCTCTCTCTCTTTTGAGAAAGAGATACACACACTTGTAGCTCCTTTGTCTCTCTGTTCTCAGTTTTTCTTAACTATGTCGTCTGATCAGATCTGTGTCCACACCTCCTTTTCTTTTTTTTTTTTTTTGGAGAGATTTTCACTGTAGGGCGTGCGCTCGCCAGACAGACAGACAGATACATAGAGACAGAAAGCGAGAAATCACCCCCCAGGGGGGATGGTCACACCGCAATCCCTTCTCCTCCATTCTCCTCTCGGGATCTTGGGCACACACGCACACACACCCGGCGTGAGTTTTAAGCCACCGGGTCCGGGCCCCGCGGGGGACTATGTGGGAATCCAGCGACATAGCCATTACGCTAACTGCTGGTTCCCCACACCTCCTTTTCTGACAATTAAATATTTTCAGTCATTTTTTTTTCTGATTTTGTCTTCTCATGCTCAAAACTATAGTATGATTATGAATGTTCTCTGGCCACAGTTCAGTGTTGTGTGTTAGAAGAGCACTAGACACCTAAATTCAGGGACCTGGATTTAGGAAGCTTTTGTTTCTGTTACTTTAGGTACCACTTTAAATTATATTTATCTTTTACTTGAATTGACCTTGGGGATGATACCATTCTAGGGGAGGATTTCAAGAATGGCTGAAAGAACTCGTAATTCTAGTTTTTGCCTCCCATTGATTGGTTCCTGCTCAGAACAAACTAGTTAGGCTGACATCCTGTGGCTATATTTATTGTGTCTCTTCATGAACATTTAGTGGTCCCTGAGGTAAAGAGACCTGTTCCATTGTAGTCAGGAACATCTCCAGTATTCAGTAACTTTAGACCTATTTTCCTTTTGAAGTTCTTGACTTCTGACCCAAATACCCAGGCCTGCTGCAGAGTCCTGCCCAGGAAAACAGATTTGTCCAATATGAGGACCATGAGTGGTGCCTGATTTCAAAGCTCATGGTAAAATCAAGCGCTTCCCGGGAATCAGCAGTTAGCGTAATGGCTATGTCGCTGGACTCCCATGTAGTCGACTGCGGTTTGTGTCCCGGACCCGGTGGCTTAGAACGCATGCTGGGCGCATGTGCGTGCGTGCGTGCCCAGGATCCTGAGAGGAGAATGGAGGAGAAGGGATTGCGGCATGACCATCCCCCGTGGGGGGTGATTTCTCGCTTTCTGTCTCTATGTCTCTCTCTGTCTGTCTGGTGAGCGCACGTGCCCAATAGCGAAAAAAACCTCTCCCCCCCCCCCCAAAAAAAAAAATATCAAGCGCTTCCCCAGGTGATATCTATTCCAAACCATCAGACCTTTGTTGGTTTAGGTTCACTTTTTGTTTCAGCATGCATTTAAGTGTTCCTTCTGTATGTTGTCTTCTCATCTGAGAAATGGAATGTGTGGGCAGAGACCCTGGGATGTCACTTTTTATGACTTAAACTAAGTCTCCCCACGAATGGGAGGATGAACTTGATCCAGGAAGGGCGATTTGGAAGTTCACATGCCTTTGTTTGACATCTTTAGACAGCATTTTCCATGGCAACGAAGAAGCCTTGTATTGCAACTCTCACAACAGCCTGGACTTAAATTACTTGAATGGCACCGTCACCAATGGCAGCGTGTGCAGCGTTCACAGTGTCAACTCCCTCAATTGCTCGCAGAGTTTCATCCAGGCTTCTCCTGTGTCTTCCAACCTCAGTATCCCTGGGAGTGACATCATGCGGGCAGACTACATCCCAAGCCACCGGCATAGCGCGATCATTGTGCCCTCATACAGGCCGACCCCTGATTATGACACAGTCATGCGGCAGATGAAGAGGGGGATCGTGCACACGGACAGCCAGAGCCAGTCTCTGCGGAACCTCAACATCATCAATACCCATGCCTACAACCAGCCGGAGGACCTGGTGTACAGCCAACCAGAGATGCGGGAGAGGCACCCCTATACTGTCCCGTATGGGCCACAGGGAGGCTATGGTAACAAACTTGTCAGTCCTTCTGACCAGACAAACCCAAAGAATAACATGGTGCCAAGCAAGCCAGGGGCAAGTGCCATCTCACACACTGTGAGCACCCCGGAGTTGGCCAACATGCAGCTGCAAGGTGGCCATAACTACAACACAGCGCATATGCTCAAGAACTATCTCTTCAGGCCTCCGCCCCCCTACCCACGGCCTCGTCCAGCCACCAGCACCCCAGACCTCGCCAGCCACCGCCACAAGTATGTCAGTGGCAGTAGCCCCGACCTGGTGACACGGAAGGTGCAGCTCTCAGTGAAAACTTTCCAAGAGGACAGCTCCCCGGTGGTGCATCAGTCCCTCCAGGAAGTGAGCGAACCTCTCACGGCCACCAAGCACCATGGCCCGGCGAACAAGAGGCATAGCCTGGAGGTGATGAGCAGCATGGTGCGCGGCATGGAGGCCATGACACTCAAGTCACTCAACATCCCTGTGGCTCGCCGGAACACTCTGCGGGAGCAGGGGCCCCCAGAGGAGGGCCCCGGGAGCCATGAGCTCCGCCAGCTGCCTCAGTATCACCATAAGAAGACGCTCTCTGATGCCACAATGCTGATCCACAGCAGTGAGAGCGAGGAGGAGGAGGAGGAGGAAGCTCCAGAACCAGTGTCCCAGATCCCTGGTCTCCGTGAGAAGATGGAGTACAGCGCCCAGCTGCAGGCAGCATTGGCCCGGATTCCCAACAAGCCCCCACCAGAGTACCCTGGACCAAGGAAAAGTGTGAGCAATGGGGCACTGAGGCAGGAGCAGGTGAGCCTTCCCCCTGCTGTCGCCAGAGCCCGGGTGCTGCGGCACGGGCCAGCCAAGGCCATCAGTGTCTCCCGGGCAGACCAGCTGGCTGTCAATGGGCCTTCCCTAGGTCCATCCATCTCGGAACCGGACCTGACAAGTGTGAAGGAGCGGGTCAAAAAAGAGCCTGTGAAGGAGAGGCCTGTGTCAGAAATGTTTTCCCTGGAGGACAGCATTATAGAGAGAGAGATGATGATTAGGGTAAGTGTCTTCCTTTCCCTGGGCATGTCGCAGTGAGAAATCATATGTTCATCAGACCCTGTGAGAATGTGCTACATTTTAAACTTTCATTTGACATTTGAACAGGTAGTATTTTGGCCAGCTGTGGTGGTGCAGTGTTAGTGCAATGCTCCCTGATGCTGGGGCCGCATGGGAAGGGCCCCAGTTTGCATCCTGAGGTCTCCCTGTACATGCTAGGAATGGTTGTGCATGTGTCTGTAATGCTGACCAGCTGAGGCTAGGGGTGGATCATGGCATGAGGACCCTGTGAGGGTGTTTCTTTCCCTCATGGAAAAACAAATAAATGAACTTTATGGGGAAAAAATAGGTAGGATTTTATTTCATAAGACATTGGTTTTTGCCCTTTGAAAGGACTCTTCCCTTCTCATTCATGGTTTCTAACAGGTATTTTGGTATGAACTGCTGAGTAAATTAAGATGTTGTTGAGTTCTATGCCTATGCCAGCATTTTACTATTTACACAAGGCCCCACCCAAATTGTGTGGACTGCTAGATGCTCACTTCCCTATGTTTCTTTGTTTGTTTTTAGGGAAAAAGCATTTTTTTCCCCCTGATTAGATACTGAAATAGCAATGTCCCCTATGGAGTACAGCTTTCTCTATAGATCTGTCTGTCTAGGTGGCTCAGTAATACTGTCTGGATTGGGATACATCTAGCTTTACATTTAGATTTTCTTTCAAAAGATGTGTAGGGGCCAGCAGGTAGTGTGGTAGGTAAGGTGCTGGATTCCCAAATGGCCAACCATGATTGAAGTCCCAGACTTGGAGGCTTGAAAGTCATGCCAGGCATATGTGTGTACATGCCCAAAATTCCAAAGGGAGAAGGGACTATTGCATGGCTATCCCCTAGGAAGTGATTTCTCACTTTTCCTCTGTCTGTCTCTGGCAAGCTCATGTGCCCATGGCAAAAACCTTCAAAAAAAAAAAAGAGATGTGTAACACAAAGTCAAGGAAATTAGAGTATTTAGATAAGTAACTTACTTGCAAGTTTACCATTCAACTTCAATTCCCCATCTAACTTATTCCATCAGTCATATAAATGTATGTGAGTAAACACATGTACATATACTTCATGTAAAGATTCAACCTAGTATTAGACATGAATCACCCTTCTTCAGCCTACATACAATCCCAAGGGCCAATTATGATCTCAGAGCAAGACTATGCAGGTAATAGACTCAAATATAGAAAAACAAAGTGAGTTCCCTCTTCCTAATGAGAAAATTGTTGGGTTGTTGTTGCTACTTTAAAAATCTCCATTGTTGCTTATCCTGGAAATTTTCACTCCCATTTAAAAAGTCATTTAATTACAATGAATCAAACCCAGACTGACTTCATTCACCACAGCTGCATCAAAAAGTAGGGGCCTTATTTTAGGGAGTCCAGAACAGTCATAAGTTAAAGTTTGTTTTAATGGAGTTTATTAGACTCTTTTATATATTTAAATCTTAATTTATCATGGGGCTCAATCAGAAAAGAATCAAGGGTCTGTGTTTTAAGGAAGTCAGGTTGCTGGGTTCAGAAACCTAATTCCCAGTAATGTCATTACTTTAGGAAACCCTTAGGAACATTCTCAACCTCACAGTTTTGGCCATGAGTAGAGCAGAGCTAAGTTTGGTACAGGCAAAACTTTCCCCACTTTTTGCAAACCTAGAGGGAAATTGTGAAAGATGTTCTAACTGTGCCTCTGGCAATTTCAGAAAACCTTTGACTGGGAGTGGAGTAGAATGAGGGGGTGGGTGCCATTGGGGGAATGCTCTCCCAGCTTGGAAAAAAGTAATTCACTGGGAGAAAGAGATTTTTCAATACTTTTGGCTCTGGGCCTCTTCAAAACAGCGTTAGCATGAAGAACCTATCAGTTTAAGCATTTCATTTAGCCATTTCCCCTACCAACTTTGTATTTAATGATGTCCACATGGTGCCATCGCCTCATTTGGTCACATTCATCCTTTTCTTCCATTATCCGTATTAAACAGCCTGTGGCCAGAATCATGGCATGGTCTCCTATACAGAGCTCGGTGCATTATCACAGAGGAGCAGGGGTTTCCACTCTTCTCCCACATGCTATATTCCACTCCACCCTTGTGGGTAAGAGTAACTAGCAAATTTTATCTAATAACTTGCAGTTTGGAAACATGATTACTCTGTTCCTACTTTATTTTTCCCATTGATTTTGATTCCCCCAAATCCCACACGCTCAGGAGCTTGAGGGCTGCTATTTCTGCTTGTGTCCAGATCTTAGAGGAGGATTAGAGGTTCCTTGTGAGCCAGGAGACCAGGCACAAAGGTGGCAGCACCAGTGGCTCTGAGCCCTAGATGATTCTCCATCTTTGTTGGGAGGCAGTGGTTTTGTTTGTTTGTGGTTGTTCTGTAGTTTTGTTTTTTAATGCAGAAACTTACCCCATAGCCTAAGCGGCAGCTCCACATTTCAAATACTTCTTTGCCATCCTTACTATGGGCGGCCTTTGTTGACTGGACAGGAATGGATGAGAGAGGGCTCCCAAGGCCATCTTAGGGCCTGCTTGTTAAGAAAACAATAAGAGAGGACCAGCAGGTGGGGTGGAAGTTAAGGTGCTGGATCCCACATGGCGGGCTGTTTGGTTGAGTCCTGGAATCCCAAGAGTAGATGGAGGGGTGGGGGAGAAAGGATTGCAGCCATCCTCTGTAGGGGTTGATTTTCTCACTTTCCCTCTCTCTCTCTCTATGTCTCGCTTTAGCAAGTGCACATGCCCTATATTAAAAACCTAAAAGCAAAGCAAAGAAAAAGAATGAAGGAAGGGAAGGAAGGAGGGAGAAAGTAAGAGAAAGAGAGAGAGAAAAAAAAATAAAAGAAAAAAGAAGCAATGAGGAACTAAGTCAATGGAAGGGGATGGGGGTGGCAGGTGTGAGAATTGCCTCGAGCAAATTGTCATAATTCTGGAGCTGCCGTCTAGCTGACAGACTGTGCTGGCCTGCTCCTTTATGGAGCCTCCTCCTGCTGCTTCGAAGGTACTTTTCTGCTTCTAGCCTGTACCCGGAGCTCAGATGCAGAGAGGAAAAAGGCCAGATCAGATTTTTGAGTTGTGTTTGATCTTCAGTGAGAAACCAATGGGCTGAGTAAGAAGGAACTAAGAAGCATCCTTCAGTTTACCACTGTGGTTTCAGTTTTCACTAAGTTGGTTGTAGTTCTTTCCCAAGGAAGACAATTCAGTGACTGCTTTGTCTTGGGCCCCATCAGGGTCACCATTTAGTGCAGGTGGGAAGGAAGCAGAAAGACTGTTGGAGAGGACTTCAGGACTATTTTCCTCCAACAATCACTGTCTCCAAACTTTGGAGAGGATAAAGATGGAATCACACCGAACAGAGGCGATAGGGAAAATTTCTCCTCTTCCATGCCGTGAGCAAACAGAAGATCCAAGTTTAAAATACTGCACCTGGGGGTGGATGAGAAACTAAGACCATTCTTAAGAGGATACAGCTTTGGGCTGACAGTCCATGGGTACTTTCGCCCCTTCCTCACAGTTAACTCTGCTGAGCAGCTCCTTTGGCTTGCTCAGTGGTCACCTTTGTCACTGGAACAAGCATCCTCTTGGCAGCAACCATTCCAAGGGTTCCATTCTAACTGTAGGTGACGTGATGACAGGGAGAGACACATAAGGGGGTAATGCAACCCCACCACCCACAGTTAGATATCCTGATAACCCTTTGTGATCTCCCGGCATTGACTCCATCAAGACACCTCCCGAGGGAGTACACTTATACATGATAGAAGAAGAAAAGACTGAAGGCTTAAAGAGACTAGGGATTAGATGACTCCTTCCTCTGTGTCAGTCAAGTGAATCTGCAAACAAGGACACTTTACTTTAGACTGAAATTCTCAACTCGATAAAACTAGTCTGTTTCTATGTTTTATGAAGTCCGTCTGTTCTTAACATAGAAGACAAAATTATTTTCAGAAAATACTCTCTCGTTTTTGAATTTGCCAGGGCATGTACACTCACCAGAGAATGACAGAGGCAGAGGGGATAAAGCACTCCTTAATTGGGTGAGATCACAGTGCAATCCCTTCTCCTCCATTCCTCCAGCCTGCTGAGAATTCGAACATGCATGCGCACACACCCAACAGGTTTTTATAAAGCACCAGGGCCAGGATTTGAGCTGTGCAGTCAGCCATGTGGGCTCTGGCTCCCTTTATTAGGCGATGGGGTTGGCCCAGAAAGCATTCTTAATGGCTTACATGAATGGTAAAAGGAGTTTTGGGTTTTTTTTTTTTTTTTGAAAGATTTTTACTATAAGGCATATGTGCTCGCCAAAGACAGACAGACAAAGACAAAAAGTGAGAAGTCACCCCCAAGAGGGATGGCCATGCCGCAATCCCTTCTCCTCCATTCTCCTCTCAGGATCTTGGCCACACATGCAACCAGTGTGAGATTTAAGCCACTGGGTCCAGGACTCGAACCACGGTCGACAATATGTGAGTCCAAGGACGTAACCATTACGCCATCTGCTGGTACCAAAAGGAGATTTATTTATATCTCAGTTTTGAGGATGTGAGGAAGCATAGCGATTGACCTAACAAGCAGTACTCTGACTGATCCAGTGTCAGAGAACAGGTACAGATGAGAACAGAGGATAGAAACTGAAAAACCACAAATGAGGGCTAGGTGTAAATATCAAAGCCTTCTCCTGAGTATCTACTCAGTCCCTCCAAATCCATGTTCTCCCATAACTGAGTCACATCCCTTGATGTCCCACCATAGTCCACTGGGTGATTTGGGAAAGATAATGCTGGTGGGTCACCGGTAGATGACCCCACTAGGCTTCTGTGTTAGTGAGTTTGCTAAACCATATCAGCTATCCTTCAGGGGATGACACCAGAAGTTCCTCGGGGACCAGAGATCTAATATAGGATTAACACCCTCAATCTTAGCCCCTAGGATGGGAACTTAGAAGATTTCTTTCTTTTCTTTTCTTTTCTTTTCTTTTCTTTTCTTTTCTTTTCTTTCTTTCGTTCTTTTCTTTCTTTCCTTTTTTTCTTTCTTTTCTTTCTTTCTTTTATAAGGTTTTTGTCATAGGGCACATTTACTCACCAGAGAGGTATTTGTCATAGGGCACATTTACTCACCAGAGACAGACAGATAGTGAGAAATCACCCCCTGTGGGGGGATGGTCACATCACAGTCCCTTCTCCATTCTTCTGCTGAGATTTTGGGTATGCATACACGTGTGCCCAGTGTGATTTTCTTTTCTTTTTTTAAAAAATTTATTTAATTTTATTTATTATTATTTTTTAATTTGACCAGAGACAGACAGACAGAGAAAGAGAGAAAGCAAGCCACCAGGTCCAGGACTTGAACCATGGTTAGCCACATGGGAGTCCAGCACCTTAACCACTAGGCCACCTGCTGCCTCCCCCACCACCATGATTTTCAAACTACCTGGTTCAAGATGTTAACCATGGCTGGTCATGTGGGATTCCAGCATCTTAACCACCATGTCACCTGCTGGCCCAGAAGATTTTTTTTATTCTACAATTTTTGTGTCTGGAGCTCTCATTCAGCAATAAAACAAACTGTGTTTCTACAGTATATTGCACATGCCCTGTTTTTCTGTGAGTCCCATGACAAGGTATATTTATAGGGAGTATTTTCTCTTAATTTATTTATCTAGCTAATGAATTAACTAATTAAAAATAAAAGCTTTAAAGTCCTGTGGGAACTGGCTTCCTCGGGTGCAGTGAGAAGAATGAGAAGGCTGTGTTTGAATTCGCCCTGCTAATAGTGATTGTCTGCATTCCTTGGCTGGGGAGTTACAGATTTGGGGAGATTAAAACACATTCCAACATTCAACTGGTATTATAAACAATGAGAACATGCCTTTTCTTGCCACAAGAATCTAGAGAAGCAGAAGATGGCAGGCCTGGAGGCACAGAAGAGGCCGCTGATGTTGGCAGCCTTGAATGGGCTCTCGGTGGCTCGGGTCTCGGGGCGGGAAGAGAATCGAGTTGATGCCACCCGGATTCCCATGGATGAGAGGGTAAGTGCTGGGCTTGTCAAACGATGATTCATTCTCTGTGGTTTTAGGATCCCAACACTCCCTCCTTACCCCAATGTGCAAGTACTAAATAAAGTTTGTTTGATGAATTAATTCCTCAGTTTGAGATTAGGAAGATCTGGCCTCACTGTTCCAACACCTAACTTTGCCAAGAAGGTATATCCACACTTGCGGAAGAAGACCAGCCCTTGTCAGGTGCTTTAGCTGCACAACCTTCATCAGGTCACTCAGTTTCTTTGGCGCTGTTGACTTTTTCTAAAATGAAGAAGTTAAATAATTGCCATTGCTCTTTCTGCGGTCTCTGTGAACGACTGCCATTATTAAGAAGTGATTATTTTATCTAAGCATTTATGAGGGAATTTCCAAAAGTTCATGGAAAAATTGAATTAAAGTATTTGGATACAGAAATTTTGAAATCTTGGCATAGTTTTTTCTCATCTGCATTTTCCATGGGCTTTTGAAGATCCCACATGTAGAGTTCTTTTATTGGGTTGTCAGGAAAGCCATGACATGTTTTTCTATGCAAAATGTGTCAGGGTTTTCCAAACAACCTAATAATATACCCACCCCATTGCATGGCTGTAAAATATGGATTTATAATTGTTAGGATAGGGCACTGTGAGGACTTTGCTTTTGAAGAGCAAAAAGAGATCTCGTAGTGTTTTAGAGGTGAAAAAAGGTATTTCTTTAGTTCCTGAAATTGCCTCAGAAGGTTAAGCAATACACTGTACGAATTTAATCGTATACAGTTACATAATCGCTAATAACATTGGAGCTTAGACTTCTGCCAGCATGTATTGAATATTAGAAAGTTTCAAAGCCAGAAGGGACTTTAGAAGGATCATTTAATCCTATTAATACCACGTTGTTGTAATTAGTAGTTTTGCCAGGGAGGGGGGAAAAGGCGATTTAATTCTTGTTTCTATAAAACTGAGGACAAGTATCATCTTAAAATTTAACTCAATAAAAATAGCTATGTAAGTAGCTAAAACGATGTTTGTATTAGGTTAAGATTAGCCATCTTTTTATCATTAGGACTTCCTGAAAGATGTTAATAGAAAAAATGTTGATTTTGAATTTCAGTTCTTACTGGTTCTTACATATTTGTCAGATTTGTTCTAGTTACAGTATAAGTGAGAAGAATGATTTTCAGACAAGAGAAACTCACATTAGGGTTGCTGAGACCAACTAATCAAATATTAGTTGTACATCTTGAAATCTCTCATAAACACTCTCACTGTAAACACTTAAAGAAGTCTGATTGCTTTAATTAGAGTTTTTGGATAATTCCGAGAGCTGAAGATTGATTTCTGTTGCAGTTCAGAACCCTGAAGAAGAAGCTAGAAGAGGGAATGGTGTTTACAGAATATGAGCAAATTCCAAAGAAGAAAGCAAATGGCATTTTCAGCACAGCAGCCCTGCCAGAAAATGCTGAGCGCAGCCGCATCCGCGAAGTTGTCCCGTACGAGGAGAATAGAGTAGAGCTGATACCAACCAAAGAAAACAACACGGGATATATTAATGCCTCCCATATCAAGGTAAGGACAGCACTTCAGAAGGTTTTTAAAAATGTCTTCTGGGGACCAGCAGTTGCCATAATGGCTATGTTGCTAGACTCCCATGTAGTCTACTGTGGTTTGAGTCCTGGACCCAGTGGCTTAAACTCCCACTAGGTACATGTGCATGCATGCCCAAGATCCTGAGAGGAGAATGGAGGAGAAGGGATTGTGGCGTGGCCATCCCCCCTGGGGGGTGATTTCTCGCTTTCTGTCTCTCTGTCTCTGTCTTCTCGGTCTTTCTGGTGAGTGCAAGCACCCTATAGCAAAAAACCTCTCAAAAAAAAAAAAAAATGTTTTCTGGATTAAAGATAAAAGTGCAGGGGGACCAGCAGGTGGCGTGGTGGTGCAGGCACTGGATTCCCACCTGGATGACTGCAGTGTGAGTCCTAGACCCAGTGGCTCAAAAATCACGCTGGGCATGTGTGTATGCGTCTAAAATCCTGAGAGGAAAATGGAAGAGAACAGATTGTGGTGTGGCCATCCTCCACTAGGGGCAGAGAGGAGTGATGTCTCACTTTCCCTCTGTCTTTGTCGCTCTCCAGCAAGCAATAGCACTTTTCCCTATGACAAAAACCTTAAAACAAAACAAAGCAAAGTAGAAGTGTAGGGCGGAAAAAAAATGTATGGGGTGCTATTGTGCTTTTTGGCTTGTCCCCAGATCCTTAGGGAGTGTTCTTAAACTCCTGTGCTCTCCTTAGTCAAAGGAAGGGCATGCCTGTCATTGCAGAGAAAAGGAAGTCTCCCAGCTTCAGAGAGAACCTCAGGCCACCTATTCTGAAGCTTGCTCATTACCAAGGCTTTAACTTTTTCTTCCCTCCTGAGCTGGAACACTCTCTAAACTCACTGAAGATTGTCCTTTTTTTGTTTGTAATTAGCAAGTGATAAGAGACTTTGGAAGTCACAGGTATTGTATTACTGTCATTTTTATCATTTTTTTATAGCAACAGAAATGACCATTTCTCCATTGTAATACTACAGGCTATTCATTTTACAACTGAAGTTCCAATTTTTCATGATATTTATAAGAGTGGATTAATTTACATGTAAACCAGGATGTGCCGTGGTGGCCAATGTAGCGGTGTTACACTTCTGCTAATAGTCCAAATACTGCAAACCTTCCTACCACAGCATGTCACCGTCAGCGTAGCTTGGGGCCACTTAGAATGCAGGGTTATAGATACATGCGTACACATACAAAGTTCACGTTTCCCAAATCGCTTACCCCCATTTCCTAATAACACAGCATATTTATTTAGAAGGTTACCATTTGTTCCAAACTCCAAAGTGGGAAAATTTGTTTATATTAATGTTAAAGCAGTTGTTACAGTAAGTTTTTAAATGACATTAAGTTGGCTGGGGGGGCTAGCAGGTACTGTAGTGGTTAAGGCACTGGACTCCTACTTGGCAGATCATCATTTGGGTCCTGGAACTGGCGGCTTGAAACTCGTGTGTGTGCCTTCCCAAAATCCTGAGAAGAGAAGGGAGGGGACAGGGTTGTGGTGTGGCCATCTCCTGGTAGTGGGGGTGATATCTCACTTTCTGTCTCTTTGTCTTTCTCTGTCTCTACAGAGAGCACTCATGCCTCATAGTAAAAATCTCGGGCCAGCAGATGGTGTGGTGATTAAGGCACCAGATTCCCACATGGCCAACCACAGCTTGGGTCCTGGACCCAGGGGTTTGAAAGTCACATAGGGTACATGTGCTGAGAGGAGAATGGAGGAGGGATCACGGCATGGGCATCCTCCATGGGTGATTTCTTACTTTTCTTTTCTCTGACAAGTATACTCACCCTATGGCAAAAACCTTAAAAACAAACAAACAGAAAACACTCCACTGTGATTGGTAGCCTTAGAAACCTGTTCTTGACCTTGTCCAGAATTGCTTCCTTTCATAACTGGATTTTTCAACTGTAGCAGAGTTATTAGTAGATTCCTTTGAGTATCTGTAGTATAGTCAGGTATTTGACTTGCGTATGGGTTATAACCGGTTTCAGTATAGAATATGACAAAGAACAACTGGTTATATGTAGTATTTTTGTATGTAGAGCATAGAGAACCATATATACATTTAGGTTTTTGGGGTTTTTTTGCATGGTTTTTGCTATAGGGCGTGTGCACTCGCCAGACAGAAAGAGACAGAGAGATAGAAAGTGAGAGATCATCCTCCAGGGGGGATGGCCACGCCGTAATCCCTTCTCCTCCATTCTCCTCTCTGGATCTTGGGCACACACGCACACGCGTCTGGCGTGAGTTTAAGCCGCTGGGTCCAGGACTTGAACCGCGGTCGACTACATGGGAGTCCACCAAATGTTCCAAACTCCAAAGTGGGAAAATTTGTTTATATTAATGTTAAAGCAGTTGTTACAGTAAGTTTTTAAATGACATTAAGTTGGCTGGGGGGGCTAGCAGGTACTGTAGTGGTTAAGGCACTGGACTCCTACTTGGCAGATCATCATTTGGGTCCTGGAACTGGCGGCTTGAAACTCGTGTGTGTGCCTTCCCAAAATCCTGAGAAGAGAAGGGAGGGGACAGGGTTGTGGTGTGGCCATCTCCTGGTAGTGGGGGTGATATCTCACTTTCTGTCTCTTTGTCTTTCTCTGTCTCTACAGAGAGCACTCATGCCTCATAGTAAAAATCTCGGGCCAGCAGATGGTGTGGTGATTAAGGCACCAGATTCACACATGGCCAACCACAGCTTGGGTCCTGGACCCAGGGGTTTGAAAGTCACATAGGGTACATGTGCTGAGAGGAGAATGGAGGAGGGATCACGGCATGGGCATCCTCCATGGGTGATTTCTTACTTTTCTTTTCTCTGACAAGTATACTCACCCTATGGCAAAAACCTTAAAAACAAACAAACAGAAAACACTCCACTGTGATTGGTAGCCTTAGAAACCTGTTCTTGACCTTGTCCAGAATTGCTTCCTTTCATAACTGGATTTTTCAACTGTAGCAGAGTTATTAGTAGATTCCTTTGAGTATCTGTAGTATAGTCAGGTATTTGACTTGCGTATGGGTTATAACCGGTTTCAGTATAGAATATGACAAAGAACAACTGGTTATATGTAGTATTTTTGTATGTAGAGCATAGAGAACCATATATACATTTAGGTTTTTGGGGTTTTTTTGCATGGTTTTTGCTATAGGGCGTGTGCACTCGCCAGACAGAAAGAGACAGAGAGATAGAAAGTGAGAGATCATCCTCCAGGGGGGATGGTCACGCCGTAATCCCTTCTCCTCCATTCTCCTCTCTGGATCTTGGGCACACACGCACACGCGTCTGGTGTGAGTTTTAAGCCACCGGGTCCGGGACGTGCACCGCGGTCGACTACATGGGAGTCCAGCGTCATAGCCATTACACTAACTGCTGGTCCCAATGCATTTAGTTTTTTGTAACAGAAAGTGCTCTCAGAAGAAATGTGGAAGAACGGCCATTATAGATCACATTGCTCATTTTTGCTTTTATTTTTGAGAGCAAGAACTAAAACAATAAAAAATATAAAACTCAGAAACTCAAGTAAATTGGCAATGGCGAAGTTCATGATACTATAAAAAAAGACTAAATAATGTAGTCAAACAAAGATGCAGATCACACAGCTGCTTCTTGATGGAGTGTCTATGGAAATCTTGCATCTCAGTATTATACTGTCTTCCTGTTTCGGCCAAATTTCTTCCACCGTTTTCCATCTGCTCTCTGGAAAATGCTGTCACTCTACATAAACTGTGCCCACCGGGTATTGTTAACCGAGAAGCGTTCCCTTCCTCAGTGTTCTCTGAGGCCCACATTTCATCTTATGGATCCGGGTTAGACATGGGTGCGTTTAATAGACCCATAGAGCTTGCAAGAACTTGTCCTTGTGTTTTTGGAATAGAGTTGTATATTTTGCCAATGTTTTTCCCCCCTGGTTCCAGGCAGCCATTAACACAGAACAGAGATTTATTTGCTCCAGAGGTGGAATCACATCTGTGAAATCTACCTCAGTGGCACCGGTTGTTGTGTTTTTAATGCAGTTTTTAATATCCTCTTGTCAATACTTGGAATATGCTGAAAGGCCCCAGGCAGCAACATTCTCTGGAAGTATTTATGGTTCCTATAGGTTGGGTGCCAGAGAGGCTAATGTTTAAAATCACAATCCCACAGATAAACTCCTAGCCAGCGAATATATGAATGTTATCTCCCCCCAGTACTTGGAAAATGGATTTTTCTTGCCAGCTTTGACCTAAACATGTCTTGTGTAACAAGACAATAACTGACATTGTTTTTGTTTGAATCAAGTTAGCACATAGTTTCATAAAATAAATGAGGGTAAAAAGTTTCAAACAACGCTCGCTTCATTGCTCTTAGAACTCTCTAGAGATCTGTACTGCATGGATGTGTAGGGGTAGATTTTGCACAGAACAGGAGAACTGAGTTCCTTCAAAGGCTATTTCCCCTTGATAGCGTGACCTTCAGCACTTTGGGCACAACTTATTCATGATTCTCTGCAGCTGATATTTATACCTGCAGCATTATCTTCCCAGACCACCCTGAACTGCCTGGGATGATCATTTCACTATCCAGAATCATGTCTTGACTCTGTAGTTCAGGTGGTTACTGTGGTACTGCACACATGAAGTTATTGGTAAAATGTCACGGGGATCAGCAAGTGCCTTCGTGATCTCTCTGCCCTGTGAAGCACCACAGAGCAGCAGTGACAACGGAGGTTTACGACACACTTTATATCAGGTCAGCAACAGAAAGAGGCTGATCCAGAAGGGGTATTATCCATGGTAGACGTTTTCATTGCTTAAGAGGATGCCATGGCACAGGGTTTTTCAAACTGTAGATCCCAGCATGGGGATGGACTGTAACATCTCTTTGGTATGGTTTTGACCATGCATGTGTTTTCATGAACTAGACTAGATAGAAAAGAATGGAAAATACTAGACTGCATTGCACACGGTAAGTGTAATTATTATTTCATATATATGTGTGCATGTGTATGTATATATGTTTTTAATGGGCACTGGTTTGGAAATGCCGTGAGTCGCAGAGGAATAAAGACATGGTAAATATTTTAATAGGTTTGGGTAGCAAAAGGTGAGAGTGTGTCATTAGCCATTTATGGGCTCAGAGTTTTTGATGATTAACCTGTATGGTCCAAAACACATATTTTTTAAGAGAGATTTTTGTTATAGGGCACATACACTTGCCAGGGACACAGAAAGAGACAGAGAGATAGAAAGCAAGAAATCACCCCCGCCCCACACAGGGGATGGCCATGCCACAATCCCTTCTCCTCCAGTCTCCTCTCAGGATTTCGGGCATCCACGCATACATGCCCAGTGTGAATCTGAAGCTGCTGGGTCTGGGACTTGAACCATGATTGGCTATGTGGGAGTCCAGCAATATAACCACTACACCATCTGCTGATTCCTGATCCAGAAAATATTTCCAGGGTTTTAAGGTGGATCTAAATGGACATACGGTCACCAGGCAGTTTTGTCCTAGACTTGGCATCGATTCACAAAATTTTTTCCTTGGTTTCCAGGTGGTGGTTGGTGGGGCAGAATGGCATTACATAGCCACTCAGGGTCCCCTGCCACACACGTGCCATGACTTCTGGCAGATGGTGTGGGAGCAAGGAGTGAATGTGATCGCCATGGTCACCGCAGAGGAGGTAAGGGAGTGGTCCGCTCAGCATCCTTTCCCCCAGGGGGTGGGGGAGAAGAGCTGACCAGACATGGGCTCTGTGTTTGCGACTTTGTCATCCCTTCCTCCCTCTTGTGCAGATTTTCTGCAGGTCTTCCTCTCTCAGTGTTCATCTGTTTTCTCTCTTACTTCCACATACGTTATTTCCCTCCACAGATCATTTATTACTGTGGCTTTTTCTCCTCTCATTTTTCATCTCACTTTTAACTCCTTTTTTTTTTTTTGCATTGCCACGGACTAAAATGAAAACAAAACAACACAGAACCAGAAACAGCCAAATCTTAGTTCAGCCGGTTGATGGTGTGTGCCAAACAAAACAGTGATCTTTCCGCTAGAATTCGAGACCCTCAGGCTGCTCTGGTTAAACTGACATAGATTCCCAACCTGGGCACTGCCAGCTCCACGTGACATCATGCTTGTCAGCTCAAAAGAGACCAGAAGCTGTTGTTCCTGGAGAGGTGCTATTCTTCAGGGAGGAAGAAAAAAAAAAATCAATCTTTTTCTTCCTTTGCCAAGGCAAACACAGTTTAGTTTTTCTGTGTAACTGGAGACCTCTGTGTGGCGTTATTAGAACTGGTACCCAGCACCAGTTGTTCCAGTCAGCTCGGAGCTTGCTGTTGGGGGGGGTGGGGGGTGGGGAAGAGTGTTGTGTTCCCTCTCTTTTCACATTCTCAACATTTTTTTAACCGCTTCCTTTTGTACCTTTCATTAAATTCCAACTTGTGTTTTGAAGCCATTTAACAGACTGGTTTCCTGTGATTTGAACAATATCCATGACATTGCAATACCCTTTCCAAATTATTTTAAATAGATAGGGAACAGAGAATTAGGGGGTGAGGGAGTGTAGTTCCTTTATTACTGTTTGGAGCAGTTGCCTTCCAGGACACCCTATTAGAAGGTGGTGGTGAAAAGGACTTCCAACTCTTTAAAGGCAGCTGTACTTCCCTGGGCTGACCTTCTGTTTGACCTTCCCACAAAGAAAATGAGTTCTCCTTAAAGTCTCTAGAACAGAGTTCTAATCTTATTGAATTGCATCACTGTGAGGGATTCATTCAGCTAAATACAATGTACCCTCTGTGTGCTATCCCTGTCCCCATGGAACTTATGTACTACTGGAAGGGACAATAAAAAGCAAATAAAATAAGTTCAGATAATACTAAGTGCCATGGAGGGAAAGAAACCAGGTAATGGTAAAGGGAGCAGTTTAGGGATGGTGTTAGGTTGGCAGCCAGGGCCCCTCTTAGGAGGTGGTATTTGAGCAGAGACCTGAGTAACAAGAAAGAGCCAGCCTTGTCAAGACAACGAGAGTCTAGTGATCTGTGTGACAGCCAGAGACATACAGTCTCTTAAACTCCTGGGCCAGTTAGTTGGTGGTGTGGTGTTTGAGGCAGCTAAATCGCACAAGGCTGACTGCACGGTGTAAGTCCTGGACCCAGTGGCTTAGAAGACAGTATGGGCACACGTGTGTTTATATACGTCTAAAATCCTAAAAGGAGACTGGAGGAGAGGATAATCCAATATAACCATACCCCCTGTAGGGTGCTTTCTCACTTTTCAGTGAGAGCATGCTATAGCAAGTTTTGGTTGTTTTTTTGTTTTTGTTTTTCCAGAGGGATTTTTTTGTTATAGGGTGCATACACTCACCAGAGAGATAGAAAGCAAGAAATCACCCCCACACACACACCCAGGGGTGATGGTAATGCCACAGTCCCTTCTCCTCCATTCTCCTCTTGAGATCTTGGGCATGCATGCACATGTGCCCAATGTGAGTTTGAAGCTGCCGAGTCTGGGACTCCAGCCACAGTCAGCTACGTGGGAGTCCAGCAACGTAACCATTATGTCATTTGCTGGTCCTACTATAGCAAGTTTTTAAAAATCCATAACTGATTTAGATACTCAGCAAAACTGTAAACTCAAAGCCTTTTATTTACTCAAGCCTGTTGTCACAGGATTGGTAAATAAAGAGGAAGGCCTATTTCAAACTCAGGAACATACAGTTTTAAACCAAATGAATCTAGGTAAGTCTATTTGTATCCACCAAACATGTGTTGCTTTGCAAATGAGCTAGTCATTAGGATTTCTCTAAAGGCACTGGAGCTCCTAGAGTTATCCCACCCACCTCAGCTCTGTGCTTAATGTCCTCCTGTCCCTCCACCAGCTCCCTGCTCACCCTTCGTCTCCTCAATGCCATCCCCTCCACACACTCTAGTCTCACACCAATGATTTCAAAACTGTGAAGCATTAAAAAGAGGCTTTTCTAAGTGGTTGAAAGTGTTTATTCTCCAAAAAGATTGTAAAATGAAGAGAGAAAGAATGGTGAAATAGGCAGCTATTCTCTTTCTTTATTGTAGATTGAGCTAAAACAAATTGAGCAGTCTGAAATGTAACATTGACACTAGATGATAGAGACAGTGTCAGTAGTCAGTGAGAGAATAGAGCCTGGGCTGACCATCAAAATGTAAAACATAAGTAGAGTAATTACTGGAATCTCTTTCTCATCCACTTAACATTTTTGATTGGCTTCCCATTGTCCATGGATGTCCATGGAGTGACAACCATTTGCCCCACTACTGACTGTGAGGCCTTTCTGATCTCCTCTTCTACCTCCATCTCCACCACTTCCCCAGCCTCTCAGAAGACCTTCCTGTTACTGGGCCAGCAGGTGGTGTGGTAGTTAAGATGCTGGACACTCCCACATGGCTGACCGTGGTCCTGGACCTGGTTGCTTGCTTTCTCACTGTCCCTCTCTCTCTCCTTTTTTTTTTTTTTTTAAAGACAACTTTCTTGTTCCTAAACACTCCAAGCTTGCTCCTGCCTTTGACCTCACACCTGTTCTTTTAACATTCAGCTGTACTCCAGTTGTGAATCTTTTCTATCTTCCATCGATGTAATTGTCTTTATAAAGATTGTATCATCAGAAAAGTCATGACACATTTTTGCATAGAAAAACGTAGAAGAAAAATCATGACTTCTTCCATGACCTGATATTATTTGTCTTAGTTGAAATGTGTAGGATCGACTGTATGATAGACATTGCACAGAGCTACTGAGTTAGTGAATTAAAAGCTATTTTTGTTTCTATTTGTGTCCAGATTTAAAAATTAAGCAGGTGAGAGCTTCCCTGAACTGACTTCCAATTTTGCTTGTTTTGTGCAATGCAGGAGGGTGGACGAACCAAAAGTCACCGATACTGGCCCAAACTGGGTTCCAAGCACAGCTCAGCTACCTATGGCAAGTTCAAGGTCACCACAAAGTTCCGAACAGATTCTGGTTGCTATGCAACCACAGGTTTGAAGGTCAAGCACCTTTTGTCTGGGCAGGAAAGGACGGTGTGGCATTTACAATATACTGACTGGCCGGATCATGGCTGCCCAGAGGATGTGCAAGGATTTTTGTGTAAGTTTTTCCTTCTTAATCTATATTACTATCAGATTGGGTTTTACCAACTTCCTGGTCTGTCTGTTGGAGAGAAGATGGAAAGAGAGAATGCTTTCTCCTCAGTGGACAAAATATTGTAACACTGGTGTATATGTTCTTTTGTTACTATGTAGAACAGAGAAGGATAAGACATGTCATTTATTATATTCTGCTTATCTTTTATGAACATAAGCTGAAGTTAGTTCTATCTTAATTTAGACCTTTAGATGCTCATGATCACTTTTCTGACACATGCTGCAACCTGGATGAACCTTAAAATATGCTAAATAAAAGAAGCTAGATAAAAATGGTCAAGTATTGCTTGACTCCACTGACGTGAAATACCTAGAATAGGCAAATTCAGAGAGACAGAAAGTGTAAGAGAGGGTTCCATAGGTTAGAAGGAAGGAGGAACAGGGGGTTACTGTTTAATGGGTACAGAGTTTCTGTTTGGATAATGAAAAAGGTTCTGGAGATGAATAATAATCAGAGTTGCACAATATTTTGAATATCCTGAATGTCAGTGAATTGTACACTTAAGATGGTTAAAATGGTAAGTTTTATGTGTCTATTTTATCACAATAAAAAGAACTAAAAGTAAATAACTTACTTTTTTCTTTCTATAGAAGATTCGCATCTCATAAGCCCTGCATTTCCTTATAGCAGTATATCTCAGCCAGTACTTTCTCATACCTATAATGAAGATACTAAGCACTATTGAAATCAGCTCATAGTTTTTGAAAATGCAATGTGCTGGGAAGACTAATTCATATATTGACATATATTTTTCCAGGAGATAGTTATTTTAAAAACTCATTCATCTGATTATCTTCAGTGCTCTATATATGCAAAGCCCCAAAGGGACCAGCAGTCAGCATAATGGCTATGTTGCTGAGCTCTCAGGTAGTTGACCATGGTTCGAGTCCTGGGCTTGGTGGCTTAAACTCAGGCCAGGCACGTGTGCGTGCATGCCCAAGACCCCGAGAGGAGAATGGAGAAGAAGGGATTGCGGCATGGCCATCCCCCCTGGGGGGTGATTTCTCACTTTCTATCTCTCTGTCTCTCTCTGTCTGTCTGGCGAATGCATGTGCCCTATAGCAAAAAACCTCTAAAAAAAAAGAAAAAAAGAAAAGCCCCAAATTGGGGCGTGCCCACTATCCAGGCATGGGATCAGGCTCTGAGAACACAGAGGTGAAACTGGCTTGCACAGTCTTTGTTCAGACTGCTCACAGTCTGATGGGAAAGACAGGCCAGTCCCTGCAGTCCAGGCATGAAAGCCAGTACTGTCAGCTGCATTTCAGTGAGGCTACAGCTCACCCTTCACTTTCCACACACTCCCTTTAATGTCCTGCAATGGTAAAGAAGCCTGTTCCTTAGTTCCCCAACTGGGAAGGAGGCCCTGGCACTTTCCACAGATACTTACCTGCTATGTTGTTGACTCTCCAACTAATGGAAGTCCTGTGACCACCACAAAGACTATCTTCCAAATATCAGATAATGTCAAACATGGATTTCACTTTGATATTCATTTAAAATGGGAGGTAGAGGGAAGAAGAGAGAGAAAAACAGGTTTCAATGCCTAAATAGTCCAGTGTACAAGTTCCAACAGAAATGTTCTGGTACATGTTCATTGATAGACGTATTAGTGTTGATGGTACCTGGAGGACAGGATGCTGAAAGGAGAGAGAAGATGATTGGAGTCACAGGATCTTGAATAAGATCTAGAGAGATGTGGTAACTTGCCTAAGGTCAAATGGGCAGTAATCTGTAGTTCAAAATATTAACAGGGAGGATAGTGACCTTGGCAGAAACTTCTTCCTTTCTAGCAGTGCTCTTTTTATTCGTTTTGGTAACCTTTTGCTAATTGACTTATTAAAATTTTTCTCCAAGAGGCAGAAAATGGAAACAATAAAAATAGATCAGCTTGATGCTTGACTATCAGTGCTGATAAAAGAGTGAGCATGTAAGATTGTTACAAGTATAGTCAGATCTTTTTAATTAGAATCAGTATAAGGAAAGCCAATATAAATTACTGAAAAATAGAGGGGTTTTTTGTGTTTTGTTTTGTTTTGTTTTTTAGTTTTTGCTACAGGATGTGTGCACTCGCCAGAGAGAGAGAGAGAGAGAGATAGGTCCCCCAGAGAGGAGTCTATGCCACAGTCCCTTCTCTGTTCTCCTCTCTGGATTTTGGGTACCAATGACCATGTGACTAATGTGTTTCTCAAGCTACCAGGACTAGGACTCAAACCTTTCAGTTGCCTATGTGGGATCCAGCACCTTAACCTCCATGCCAACTGCTAATCCAGTGATACACACACACAGACACACACAGACACACACATAGTTTTGGTTTTTTTTTTTTTTTTTTGAGAGGTTTTTGCTATAGGGCGCGTGCACTTGCCAGAAAGAGACAGAGAGATAGAAAGCGAGAAATCACCCCGCAAGGGGGATGGCCACGCCGCAATCCCTTCTCCTCCATTCTCCTCTCGGGATCTTACACAGGCACGCACACATGCCCGGTGTGAGTTTAAGCCACTGGGTCCAGGACTCCAACTGAGGTCGACTACGTGGGAGTCCAGTGATATAGCCATTTCGCCAACTGCTGATCCCGTCCAGTGATAATTTTAAGAATATAAACTTATTAAGTTATGCTTCTAAGAAACTCAAATCAAGTATGCTGTGCAGGGCCTTAGAATGCTGGCTCTCTGTGTCTTCTAGGTTTTAGAGATTTGTGCCCATATTTAAATGAGATTTCCTGAATGCAGAGTACCTGAACCAGATTGCCTGCTCCTCTTTAGCAGTCTTCATTGAGTCACGGTGTAAGGAAGTTTATTAATACGATAGACATCGAGGAAGCATTTCTTTGAATCCAGTTTCTCTGCATTTTGTGAAAACCTCCACTTGAAGGTGGCATCTGCTGTACTGCCCAACATTTCTTTGGTTTTCCTGTTTAAATTTGGCTCAAGAATAGCTTGGGCCCTCGTATGTGGACATTGCCTTTTGTCAGACAGGACACTCAGTTGCCCAATATCTTTCCCCCCCTCACAATAAAACCATAAGAATTCCACGCACAGTATTTAGCTTGAATTGGCGTCTGCTAGTGCTGTCTCCATCCACCTCACTGTCTCCATACTCTCTCAGTTCGTTCTTCCTGTTTCATTCTCTCATTTACAGTACTCCTCCTCCTGTAGTAGCTGCCCTAACTGCCGTGCTCGTGGTCACACTAATAGCAGCTTGTTTATGTAGGCAGCTCTCTTACTTCAGATTATTTTATAATAGATCAGGTTACAAGGAGAGTTTGTAAAAGAAAGATTTTAAGGGAAATAATCTTCAGATTATTTGGTAATTTGATATGGTTATAAAGAAATGTACAGGTTCTTAGGAGTTAAATGTAAAGATGTTTTTAAATGACTTGAAAGGTTGAAAAGTACTTTTTTCTCACATTTCCCCTCCAGTTTTGTCTAGACTGTTACGTTAGGAGGCGGCTTTCCACATGTCAAGAACCTTCAACTCATTTTCTCTCTGAGCTACTGCATAATCCAAATCACTCAGCGACATTTTTCTGATTTCTGGACTGTCTGCAGATTACATTTATATACTTCCCTCTTTTATTCATGACTCTGAAAAAAGTCACTAATTGCTCTAATTTTGCTTTTGTGCCCAGTTGGAGTTGTGAACAGAACCTTGTGCAACCCAGCTGAGCTAGGCAGATGTTGGAAGGAATGGAAGAGGATCCTGACCGCCCTCTCCACCACACACACACACACACACACACACACACACACACACACACGTTGCCTCCAGAAGGGGGGTTCATCTTGAGCTACTCGCTTAACCCCCTGGAATTCATGCTGAAAAACAGAGTCCCCAAAGTCTATTTTAAAACCTAAAACTGAAGTCAAGCCTCAGTTGACATCCACTCATTCAGCGAGGGGAAGGGAGAAGGGGCAGATGGATGCTCTCTCCCCATCAGAAATTGGCTCTGACAGGCGGACGTTTCAAGGGGACTTAGCTGTTGTTCTGATCCCAGTCTGTTAATAGTAGGAATTGCTGTAAGTAATGTCTAGAATCATCTGCTTGGGGGACTTAGGGATTTGCAGAGGGGAAAACAGAATTTAATTTTTAAAAAAGAACTATTTAATTTAAAGAACAAATTCTCCCATGGACTAATTGACTCCCAGCTGGTCCTTTCTGGATCCAGGACTGTACAGCGGGTACCAGCCAAATAATTAGTATCTTGTAAGAATTGTAAATTATTGTCACTTAAAAAAAAAAAAAAGATTCGCCACCAGTTCCCCCAGCACACACACTTGTATGCAAACCCATGTAGGACTACTTCGGTGACAAGATGTGCATTTTGTCCTGCAGCTTACTTGGAGGAGATCCAGTCGGTCCGTCGCCATACTAACAGCATGCTGGAAGGCCCCAGGAACCAGCACCCCCCCATCGTGGTCCACTGCAGTGCCGGCGTGGGGAGGACCGGCGTGGTTATTCTTTCTGAGCTGATGATCTACTGCCTGGAGCATAATGAAGTGAGTCATTCCAGGCTGCTCTCTGGGTAGTCGGCTTGGAGCCCACGTCTACACCAAGGCCAAACCTTTACCTCTGCCCTTTCCTCCTCAGTGGTTCATTTCTGCTCTCCTGACCAGAGTTTTCCAGACCCAGGGTTCCTACCTTGACTCTGACCTTTACGGTCTTCCTTGTTTTTGACCTCTTAATGCTCTGTGTAGATAGCCAACTAATAGAGAAGAAGAAATGGGACGCTGAGATAGCAGACATTTGGGAACTCTCATCTCAGCATCTACTTCCAGAAGTCAGCAGCATTTTGTAAAATGTCTGGTTTTATTGTGAGTTGTTGTCATGGTGGGTCATTTGGTCACAGATAGTCTAGATGTATTTCGCATCTAATATGTTATGGCCTAAATCCTAGATGAAAAATGTGTCTTACTTGGAAGAGCGAGGGTTTTTTATATAAAGGAGGCTGTTTGTGCTTCCCTAGACTGGCAGTTGCCTGGGGCAGCAGGGCAGGGTAGACATGGGAGCCTGCAGACATCACTCGTCTTTGCATGGGCTGGGTGTCCTGGCTGTTTTCTCTGCAGCTAGTGGCAGTGCAGAACTTGTACCCAAAGGCATGTGCTGTTCCTTTGCTGCTATAGGATTAGAGAATTACATTAAGAGACTCTTGAGGGGCCAGCAGGTGGCATGGTGGTGAAGGCACTGGACTCCCACTGTGGTTCAATTCCCAGACCTGGAGGCTTGCTTTCACATTTTCCCTCTTTCTCTGTCTGTCTGCCTCTGGTGAATGCATATGCCCTATAGAAAATTTTTTAATAATAATGAATAAAATTAAATAAGTAATTCTTTTTTTTTGGAGAGGTTTTCACTATAGGGCGCGTGCGCTCACCAGACAGACAGAGAGAGACATAGAGACAGAAAGCGAGAAATCACCCTCCAGAGGGGATGGCCACGCCGCAATCCCTTCTCCTTCATTCTCCTCTCGGGATCTTGGGCACGCACGCACATGCACCCGGTGTGAGTTTTAAGCCACCGGGTCCGGGACATGAACCGTGGTCGACTGCGTGGGAATCCAGTGACATAGCCATTTCGCTAACTGCTGGTTCCCTAAATAAGTAATTCTTTAATAAAAGATAAAAGACTATTCAGTGTAGATGAGACAAACAAAAATCAAAGGCTAAAGAACAGTTCCTCTGCCTCTGTTTACTTGGGGCTGTTGAATTTTCAAAGGACTTTCACCTTTGTTTCCTTAGTTGGTATTCCTAGCAGGCATCTGGAAGAGCCAGGCTCACGTCATTCCTCCCAGTTTACAGATGACAAAACTGATGCTTCAAAATAATTATGTGACCCTCCTGATGCCACGTGGCTCTTATGTATTATTACCAAGGCAAGAAACACTGTCTTCTACCTTCCAGCTCAGGTGATTTCCCGTCTTCACTCTACCTTCAAACACCAAGAGCCATTTGGTTCTTGTTCTGTTTCCAAGTTTGGAAAAGCAAAGGAAACATTTGTAGTAGTTTGGTGGTTTTTAAAATTACAGAATATCTTCATGTACATTCTATGGAGGATTGTTATGACAATATATATATTTACTGAATAATATCAGTAATTTGAAAATCAGATTAAATATTGTCCCACGAAGTTTGTTATGTCCAGTGTCCAAAAAAAAGGCACCAATAAATGCTGTTTACGTGCAAAGGATTTTAAAACTCCATCCCTATAAAAAGTTCATTTTGAAAAATTTGCCTGTACATAGAAATGTTTGTGCTGCTAAAAAGTAGAAAATCAGCCGTCCCAACTCTAGCCCTGTGTTCAACAAGGGCCAGCAGGTGAAGCAGAGGTTAAAGCAGCTGGATCCCACAGGGCCAACTTTACAGTTCCAGTCCCTGTCCGAATGGCTTTTAAAACATGCTGGGCAGATGTGCATGTGTACCCAACATCCCAAGAGGAGAATGAGGGAGAAGAGGCTGCTGTGTAGTCATCGCCCTGGAGGCTCATCTCTCACTCTCCCTTTCTTTCTTTCTCTCTCTCTTTCTGGTGAGCACACACACCCTGTAGCAAAACTACAAACACACACAAAAACTTATTCTAGAATCATGAGAGTATGTAGCAGAAATTTCATGGGCTCTTCTAGATTTTCATCATTTTGTCTCATATGGGATTTCTTGATTATTTTCTTCCCTCTCCCTGTCACTGCTAGAAATCTATAGAACAGTGAATACCTTGCCACTTAGTCCTAGTCCTGCTAGTGCTAGAAAGATGGACTGAGAGGAGGCGTGATCAATGTGCACACAGGTTGTGGGCATCTGAGCTCACAAAGGCAGTGCCAGCAGTTCTAGGGGAGGAAGAAGGGCCTGCTCATCACATCCCTGCTTAGGTATCATTTCCTCCCTTCATGTCCCTTTCTTCACCAAATGTCCCTCTTTCCTCCATTCCTTCCATACTCCTCCTCTGTTTCCCTTTTCCTTTTCAAACCAAGAAGCTCCTCCTCCATCTTGTCTGACATGAAAGATTGCTCTGTTCTCAGCTCTTTGGAGACCCATCAAAGGCTGAGCCTCACTGAGGCGATGACACCAGGGCTCACTGAATGCCAGATGTCGTTGGTCCAGAAGGACACACACAACGTGGATCAAAGCCAGCGTGGTGCGGAATGAGGGATTCGGCCAACAGGGCCCCCTGTGGACCTGGTGAAGGCTCAGGTGGTTCAAGTCTCTTTGGCGTGTCCAAACATAGCAGATTTCCTCAGTGCCCCACTGCATGCCAGAACATTCTTTGCTGGAACGTGATCAGTCCAAAAAGAACTTCTGCTCCCATTGATATTCAAAGATAGCAGGATGACTCATAGTTTTCACTTCCCTTCCCCTAGCACAAATATAGCCAGCCTTATTTGTGCCATTTCCCATCATTGCTATTGGTAGGTGATTAAGAGAAAAAAGTCTCTACTTTGTTCTTACCCTATTTCAAGACTCATGGGTAAGAATCAAGCCCACTCTTTCAGGAGGAGAGTGGAACATGTTTAGTTTGTTCATTTGTTTTTAAACAAAGGTTTTGACAAAAAAAATATATATGAAACTTCGTTCCCCATATTTATCCTGTCCAAACCTCCCTGCTTTCTTACCATAGCTGAATTTAGCATACTTTATATTTTTAATATAGAAGGCATGCAATTTTAGTGAAATGGCTGTTCTTTTTCCTGGACTTCTCCCTCTTTCATTCTTTTTTATTTTTTTCCAGAGAGGGTTTGTTTGTTTGTTTGTTTGTTTGTTTGTTTTACTATAGGGTGCATGTGCTCACCAGAGAGACAGAAAGATAGAAAGTAAGAAATCACCCCCCTAGGGAGATGACCACATCACAATCCCTTCTCCATTCTCAGGATTTTGGGCACACACACACACACACCCAGCATGAGTTTTAAGGTGCTGGATCTGAGACTTGAACCGTGTGTGGTCAACTACATGGGAGTCCAGCAATACAGCCATTATGCCATCTGCTGGTCCCTCTTACCTTTGTTCTTAACACAGAAAAGTTGAGCATCAAAATTCAAAGGCTCACACTGGGGGCAGGTGGTGGCTCAGTGGTAATAATACAATTGGATCTGGATCTATCATGGAAAGGTCCTGCGTTCACATCCTAGGATCACCCTCTGGTCATGTCAGGCACACACGTGTTTGTGATCTAGAGTGACTGAGACTAGGGATGGATTATGGCAAGAAGGATGTTGGAGCTACCTGTCTTGCTTTGTCTCATTCTCACTCTTCTCTCTGTCTCACTCTCCCATAGGAGAAAGAAAGAAATACACTTAAAGGATTTTGCTTGTTCAAATCTTTTTTTTAAAAAAGGGGGGGGGGGAAGGAAGATGCCTACAGTGAGGTCAAGAATTGTGAGGTATGGACTGAGGGAACAACTCCAGGCTGCCTTGAGAAGCCTCCCTTTGGCCCAGCATTTTGGGTCACTGACTGTGAACTGAAATGTTTCAGTGTGTGCATGTTTTTTCAGAGAGCACTATTGCAGTAGTCTGTCCACAGCTACATCAGTTGCAAAAGGTCAGGTGCTCACTAGCCAGTGAAATGTCTTAATCATCCTGCTATTTGAAACGCGTTGTTTCTCTTCCTAGAGTGAGTGGGAGAAAGTGTCTTCTAAGCAAGACTGAGCAAGTGTTAATGGCCTTGTGATTCCTCGGGTTAGGGATGGCTAACAGTAGAGCCTGTCAGCTGACACCCCTTTATTAAGCACCAGGAACATTCTTTGCCTTGTCTCCAGACTGTCCCATATCAGACAGTACTGTCTTGTGGGCTGAACCTTATGTGTCATTGAGATGGGAACGATGGTGGAGGAGGAGGTACAGGAGGTGGTGGTTGTGGTGGTGATGGTGACCACACCACAACAATGAAACTAGTATGACAGCTAACTGGTATTGAGTGTTTATCTGGTACCGGCACTGTTCTGAGAGCCTTACAGTATTAACTCAAGTACCCTTCACAATACTTGTGAGGTAGGTCCTGGTAGTGCTCGTATCTAACAGAAGAGAAGCTGAGTCACGAGAAGTGTGTCCACGCCCACAGCCAGGAAGTGGTAGAACTGGGATATAACAGACGGAGTCTGACTCAGAGCGCAGGCTCTCTGGGAGAGAAGTGGTCGTATGCTCTCTACCCTTTAGCCTCTGTGTGCAACACAGTGGTGTTTGCCAGACGTCATGTTAATTAAGCTCATTAATAGGTGGCTCTAGGTCATTTATCATGATACAAGTCACTTCAGAGTATAGTTTAAGCAAAGGCCACTCATTACCATCAGGAGCTTATTATCTCAGCTCCCTATTTTGACTTAAGAGTTTGAAGATTCACATGCCTTTTTTTTCCCCCAAACTCTGTTACCCAAGGATGACTGTCTACCCTCCCTCCCCCTCCGCCCTCTTTTTTAAAGGTTTTTGGCATAGGGCACATGCCGGAGAGAGAGACAGAAAGAGCAAAAGTAAGAAATCAGTCTCCGGGGGGATGGCCATGCTTCAATCTCATCCCCTCTATTCTCCTCTTGGCATTTTGGGCATACACACACATGGCCTGGCATGGTTTTCAACTGCTGGGTTGTAAATCTGTGGTTGGCCATGTGGGAGTCCAGTCCACCACATCACCTGCTGGCCCCTTGACTGTCCCTTTTAAACCTATGATATGCCTTACTTTGTTGGTTTTGAAGAACAACTACTAATAATGATGGCATAGCTACGCAGTTTGGAAATAGCTGGTTATTTTTCATGATTTGAAAGTTGCAAAGTGAGGCATGCAGCTGTTTTTATTATTTTCTTTTGTGCCTGCTCTGTCCTTATTAACTTCATGGGTGTCAACATGCCCCTGTGTTGAGAGTTTCTAGGGCAGAGTGAATGTGCCGAGGCCTCGGTGGCCTCAGGAGCTCAGTGATGTGCTTCACAGTGCTTCCCCGAGCTGGTTCAGGAGGACAGAAACCTACGCATGAGGGGGAGGGACCCTGGGACAGCCACTGGTCCATTAAGTACCAGTGATCTCTATGTGGGGACTTAAGAGTTTGTGGAAAATGGAATGAAGGGATGGCTTTATTTTGGTGTAGGAATATTTTGAAATCCAAGCATTGTTTTTCCATAATACACACTGTCCACAAAGCTTTCGAAGACACTTTGTATATATTTCCTTCCATCAGTGATAGTTGTATTTCCCCAAAGAATTCACACATAGACAATCTCATTGTGATACTCAAGATGTTGTTAGTTAAAGGCTTTTACTGCACACACGACTAGTGTCCAGAGATTGTGCTTGGACTTTTTAAAGATCTGCATATAAATTAACTCATTTGATTGAGCCCAGTTCTACAAGATAGCAGGATAGGATAACTGCATTAATAGTGTGTTTATTAATGTTCATAAAATAACGAGTCATTTTATGAAGAACTATGTGCCAGATGGTTCACTAAATGCACATGGATTTCATCATTTGCTTCTGTGAGGTGGGTACTATTTATTACCCCATGTTATTGCTGAGGAAATGGAAGTGACTTGGACAAGACCACACTGCTGTGAGAGGAAAGCCTCATTGCTCTTATTTTACAGACAAGGAAACTAAGCCCGGATGTCTGGAAGTCTAGTACTCGGTACTAGTAGAGTTGAAAGCACCAGTCAGGTTTCGCTGTAACAGAGTTGTATTTGAAACATCACACCAGGGCTCAGACAGTGATGCAGCAGTAATGCAATGCTTTGCAAAGCTGACCCAGATGTGAGGTTTCAGCTTCACATCTGGAGACCTTCACACACACACCGTGCACATGCTCATGATCTGGAGCTGGCTAGGGGTGGATCGTGGCATGAGGACCCTGTTGTGGCTTCTCTGCCTCTCTCTCCATTTCTATCCCTCTCTTTTTCAAATTATTATTACTATTATTATTTGCTAATGAAAGAAAGAAATCCACACCAGTGACATGTGAAAACCAGGTTCTCCAGTTGCTGGTAATAGTCTTGATTTGGGAAACCCACCAGGACAGAGTCCTTTGGTTTCTCTTGCACCTGGGTAAGGGCAGTGGACTGTTCCTGAACAAGGAGCTGAGGAGCAATCAGGGGGAGCTTCCTGTCTCAAGACCTTGTGCTTGTTCTCTTTTTTCTGCAGAAGGTGGAAGTGCCCATGATGTTGAGGCTCCTCCGGGAGCAAAGGATGTTCATGATCCAGACGATTGCTCAGTACAAGTTTGTCTACCAAGTGCTCATCCAGTTCCTCCAAAACTCCAGACTCATTTAACCTCCTCGATCCAGCTCCTGGAAGAGGGACCCAGCTCTATCGTGCAGATAGACAACTCCAGACAACATCTGCTCCCCCAGCAGGGGCAGATGGCTGGCAGCAGGCGGGCTGCAGAAGCCAAGATGATTGACAAACATCATGTATTATTTTATATGAGATAATTTATTTTTTTTCCTTTGAAATAACTTTTGTGAATTATTATAATGCAGTTTTCACTATGATCTAGTGCTTTTCCTTTGAACCACATTTTGACTGATCTGCATTGTAGTACGTGGCAGGAAGGTTGCCAGATGGGTCGTGTTGGAGACAGAGGCATAAGGGAACACATCTCTCATGAAGTCCCAGCCAGATTTGTAACCAACCCTGAAATTTGTCAGCTTAATAGCTCCTGTCCAAATCAAAGACGGCAAGAAAAGGAGTTCATCCTGAAGTGTAAAAAGGCCAAGACCCTTTCCTTGAAGGAAAGTCACCATTCTCGTATACTCGAGGGCTCATGAGGCTTACAGTCACTTCCCTTCCTTCCTCCTTTCTACCCTCATATTCAGTAATCGCTCCCACCTCCACCCGACCCCCCCCCCCCCAAGCTTGAGTTAAATACAGGAACAGCTAGAGAAAACGCTGCCTTTATGTGCAGTAACTGCCGTCTTTCGGGCCGTATGAGAAGCTCTGTGCACTTTCTCAACACCCCTCCTTATTCTGGGCTCCAGGGGACTATTTACCTCATCTCTTTTGCTCAATTAACTCCAGCCTAAGGGCCATGAGGCCTTGGGCCAGGCTGCTGGGAAGCTAGGATACTTGCCCGATTGAGAGGATAATGGAACAGAGTGGGAAGAGAGAAGAGTTGGGGAGGGCCTTGAAATGGTTTATTTAATTATGATGTATATGCTTAATGAGAACCTGAAGGTTGAGATGCTGGATGTGTTCCCCTTTTCCATCAATTACTAAGTTATTGGAAAGGGTATAAAGGACACACTTGGGGAACCTGATTTGGGGGACCTGTTTGGAACTTAGGTAGCAGGGGCCCTGGCCAGGAAATCCCACAAAGCGTGACTATCATCTCTAGGCTTTGGCCTATCAGAGTAGACTTAATCTCATTCTGAACCCTGTAGTCCCAATCTTGGCCCACATGATGGAAAAAAGTCAAACTTTCTCTTTCACAAAATCCTTTGTGGTTTCCTTTTCTCCTTCTAACCCACTCGGGTCAGTGATGGTCTTAGCTGCCCTCAATTTGAAGCTCAGTTCTTAGTTTCTTGTCCATTGGTCAGTGTCCTCCTGAATTTCTTAGGTGAATACACAAGAATGACATGCCACAGATGGCCTCTCTTGCTGATTGTGGGGGTTTTCCTTTCTACATCTAGTTTTTCTCAGACACACCTTTGATATGTGTCTGTGGGTGTGTGGTGATGGGAAGTCACAAAGGCTCACTCTTCTGATTGAGTCGATGGGGTTCTCTTTGTCTTTTCAGCTCAGGAAAAAAGCAGCCCTAGAGGAAGGCATATGGAATGAGTGTAGCACAAAAATACAATGAAATGTTCCTTTCTCCATGTCATTTTTTTCTTGGATACACCTTTGTGATGGAGGTTTTGTTGTTAGAACTGCAGGTGGTCCCTATTCCTTCCTTCTTTGCTGCCTTTATTTGCCCCTGAATAATAAAGACAAAGAATGGCATCAGCTGGACCAAAACGAGAGGGCCTGTGTGACATCCCACCATCTCACCGAAGTGTATGCAAGCAGATTCGCCATTAACTCCTTTGGAATATAATCAACCCAGTTTCAGAGCTGGCCAGATAGTCATTTCCTTAGAGAGTTTTCATCCTGGGGGTACTCTACTAAGGATATCTTAACAGGTGGTCTCAGTTGCTGGTTTACTGCATAATTAACATCAATATTGATTTTTCATCTCTAAGCCCCAACGTGAGCACTGTTAAGATGCCTCATGTGGGCAGCGTAGACCCGGCACCTCTTTGAGCTCATCACTCATGAACTTGCTCTAAACCCATCCATTATTCCCACCTTATGCTTCAGAAAGATTCTTTAATGCATGAAATGTCCTAGTCAAAGTTTATGTTGAAACCCACCGGAAAACATGCAAAAGTTACCTCACATTATTTCATCTTTTAAAACAAATGCTTTTGGTTCTTTAGCACATTTTGCATTCCTTTTCACATCTCCAGTAAATGCCAACATATCTCCTGTTAAATTAGCAGCAGCCATTTAAGTCCTTTCAGTGGCATCTGCATAATAATTGCCCAGAGATGCTTTATATCTGGGAAGCAAGCCAAGGAATAAACCTTGAAGCAAAGTGTATTAAATTAGTTATCTAGTTAGAGCTTTTGGAATGATTTCCTGATGATGTATCAAGTCTGAAGCTAGAGCTGTCAGAGTCTATTGCTGCAGTTTGGATTTAAAGGGAGAACATTTTGAAATGGAGGGGAAGAAAGAGACCATCTCATACACACACACACACACACACACATACACACACACACACCAAACATTTTCCAGCCTCTGGTTTGAAGTTTTCCAGTTGAAATGTTCGGTCTCTTTCATCCGCACTCACTGCGATACACTGACCCGACATGCTTGTCCTTGTTTACTGTGGTCCCTGGGTCATGGGGGCTGAATTTGATGTCTTTATCCTTGAGATAAGAGGAGATGAGCCTGCTGGCAAAGCAGAGGTGTCCTGCTGGACTTTATTGGGTTTAGCTGGGTTCGAAGGCGGTGCCACCTGGTAGTAAGAGTCTCTGGTAGCATTTACAGATAGCATTTCCATACATATTACATACCTCTGTCCCTAGATGAGAAACTACGGATTTAGCTGCATTAAGAGATGTTGGACATAGATTTCTTTATATGAGAGTAATGATGAATGAGCCATTCTGCTGAGCTGGAGTTGAACAAGAGCAGGGAAGGTGAAGATGCCACCCTGTGGAATATTTTACATAAAAAGCTTTCAGGGAGCTCAGATTAGGAGAATTATATTTTTACTAACTTAGTGGGTCAAGATTAAGGAGAACCACTTTATTTTAATTAAGCTGTTGTTTGCCTAAGGGTTGGCTATTTCTGGCATCCTCCAGCAGACTGGATAGAAGGACTCTGTAGACTGCAAGGGGCAGGCCCTGTGGGACTTCATCGCTGGCTAATACTTAACCTTTCTACTTCTCTCAGCTTCTGGTTTTCCATTGTCAGTTCCAGTAGGCACAGTAGGTCCGCATTTTTATTTAGTTCTTTTCCTTATCTTCTAGCTTAATGGAGATGGACCCATAGGAAATTTCCAATAATTGAGCATATTTTCCTGTGAGTACAGAAAATTCATGTGGTTCAACCTCATATGCAGTTGGTTTTTCCTCCTGACATGGTATGGATCCCAATGCCATGGTATGGATCCAAATAAATGTTAATGAACACACAGCATGTGCAGTAGGCGCCTGGGCTTTCTCTGAACCTGCCGTCTTGCCACCTACCTACTTTTCTCTGTCAACCAGTTGTGACCTTTGGACCTTACTCCATGTGTAGGCCATCTCCTAGGTTTGGAAATTGCTTTTAGCAAAGGTGAGTGTCCATTCTGATAGGCTGGATTGGCCATCAGGCACATCCCTAAGGGGTTTTAGCTGCTGTTCTTTCTTGCTGTATAATCTGTATTAGCTGACTGCAGGCCACTCACTGGGGAACACGCCTGGGTCCCAAATGTGTCCTTGGTCAAAAAGCAAAATATGTGTTCTCATTCTCTCTCTCTCACTCCCAATGGTAAGTTTGATGATAAAGGCGAGTATAGTTTTAGGGAAGACATGTCAATACTTGAGGTGAGGTGGGATAGAGTATTCCAGCTGTGTAACAAGGAGCATAAGTTCCAGGGATGGGACTGGGTCAGGCCCACGTTGGTATTCATCTGCTCTTCCTTCCTTCTGTGTCAGGAATAACTCTGTTGGGTCCCTAGAGTAAAGAATTTCCAGAAACATCAACTATTTACTATTGGGCTCTTACGGTGGCCCTTTGTGGGAACGCAGCTTCCCCATGTTTTGCCAAAGATTCTTCTGGTACCTTGTTATATTTTATTGCCAGTGGGTTTTATCAGTCACTATGCTCTTACTGATTTGTATTTTAACTTTAAAAAAAAAAAATTTGCTACAGGTGCAAGTACTTGCTGGGGGTGATGGGCAAAGAAGCATTCCCACACGGGGGTTAGTCACACCACAGTCCCTTCTCTTCTGATTCTCTTTTCAGGATTTTGGGCACACGCACACACACAGAGAGAGAGAGAGAATTTTTTTCAAGCACTCTGCACTCTGGGTCCAGGATTCAAGCTGTACAGTTGGCCACGTAGGATCCAGCTACCTTAACTACAGAATCACCAGCTGGCCCTTGTGTGACTTACTGTCATGAGCAGAGTAACAACTCATCTAGCATTGCTTCCAAGTGGAGAAAGTTGGGTCTTCCATGGGAAGTGCACACATTTCCCAATGACCTACAGCTTCATGGATAGCAAACAGTTGGCCCCATGGTGGGCATACAAAGCTCCAAGATGTTAAACTACATTTGACACTTCCTTGAGCTCTAAGCAAAGCAGTAGAATGATTCTTGTCTTTATTCCCCAGCTCTTAAGACATTTTAGGGCAAAAGGCCTTACTGATCCATCAGTAACAGCAGCATTCCCAGGAGAAACAGGATGTTAAATCTGCCTACTGAGCTGTGTTCGGAAGTCACTGATATTCAGGGCATCCCCTGAAACTCAACCACCAGCTTGACCTATCAATACTCAACCTGCTGCTGCCCACTCTCAGCTTTTGCCTCTTCGTGATAAACTCAGGTTTGTAAGCAATTTTATCCAGCAGTCTGCCTTCCTGATCCTTCCAGCTCACCATAGCTGCATTTTCTTTCTTAGGAGCAAACTATTTAAATGTTCATGAGCTTGGCATTGAATATCTGCCACCCATCGGTTCTGTAGCCTGTTCGGGATAGTCGAGGGGAGGATATGCATCGGTTCCTACTGTTCCGAGCTTTGTCAGCCTTCCTGTTTAAAAATAAATTCAAGGACATTTGAGTTACAAAGCAGGAGGGCTGGAGCTGACAGCCTGACGGTGCAAGTGTCTGCGAAAGTGTCACCATTCCCTCCATCACTTCTGGCCATCAGGATTATTCACAAGCTTACCCGAAGAGCTCTAAATGGGGAAAGGGGAAGGGTGTTTAGATCACTCCTCACTAAGTTTTTTGGTTCACAATTTCCTGCACTCTGGAATATCTGTCCTACTCCCTACCCCCTTTCTGTAATGTTAGACGGATGGAAATTTACCAGTGGCACCCGGGAAGCCATGCTGCAGTGTTGGGATCTGCTTCCCCCTGGTCATGCTTGTAAACTGCATCCTCACTGTTGAGGGAGAGCTTGGTCAATGTCATGGATGATGATGCCAAGTTGATCACATTTAACTGGGGTTGCTGCTCAGAATCTTCTTACAGTGCTGTTAGCAGAGGGTTCTGTCACCCTCATGGCTGCCAGCATCAGCAGTCACAGCTTCTGTGCATCTTGACTGCTCTCACCTACAATCTTAGGGGTGCTGCAACGCCTATTCCCCCTTGCAGCAAGTCTTCATAACCAAGGCATAAAAACTGGGAAAACAAGTAGTGACTGCAGAATTCCTGCCTCGTTGGAGGGTATGGGTGGGACTACTTTGTGATGTGACCAAGAGCATCTCATTCACTTAGAGTGATGGCAGTCCGCCATGTTTTCATGATCAGGTCTCAACAACAGACTATCCTGTTACCACATCCCCCTCCAAGGGACCTAAATCTGGTCACAGAGAATAACTATCTTTTTTTTTGGAGAGGTTTTTTGCTATAGGGCGCATGCGCTCGCCAGACAGACAGACAGAAATCACCCCCCAGGGGGGGATGATCACGCCGCAATCCCTTCTCCTCCATTCTCCTCTCGGGATCTTGGGCATGCGCGCACATGCGCCCAGCATGAGTTTTAAGCCACCGGGTCCAGGACATGAACCGCGGTTGACTACGTGGGAGTCCAGCGACATAGCCATTACACTAACTACTGGTTCCCCAGAATCACTATCTTAAGCTTCTTCAAAATATGTTATTAGGAAATTAATTTTAAAAATTATGTAGTTTCAATAAGATCTGGCAATTGAAAATAACCATAATGAAAATAGCTAGAGAACTTTTAGCAGCCAGGAAGCCACCCTTCCTTTTCTCCCCTGGTGATAGAAACTATCACTCAGTAGTAGAAATGGTAGGAAAGATGGCCGTCAGTCCCAGTCACAGCAGATTCCCACAGCACTTAGTAGTTATTTTGAGGTCAACTTCTACAGGTTCCCAGCAGTTGCATTTGGCGTGGTATTGTATAGGCAGACTGATTTGCTTCTAGTTTCTTCCTGCTTGACTCTGTTCCCTTCATCAGAAACTCCTGACACAGACTGGCCAATGAGGTGAATGAAGCAGGTAATCCTCGGGCTACCCAGGACCATTTCCAAGTTGAGTTGTGATCAATTTTCAGCTAGTCAGGGAGGGAAGGGTCGGAGAAGCCGATCATCCAGTCTGTTCGTAAATCATCCTCTTCCTTCAGCCCAGATCTCCTCCTCCAGGAAAACACAAATGCCATCTCACATGACAAACGTTGAGAGAGAGCTGCAAGGACTAGATTGGGAGCCTTCTGTGCCTTGGGGTGGAATTTTTTGTTAAAATCTCTTTTTTTGAGTTTAGCTGGGGTAACTCTTGGGCAGGGTGCCTGGCGTCTTGTTCTTGGCGTTTCTCAGGGCCTTCTCCACCTCCCTCAACTTCGGTGTTAACTGACAGATACCTTCTGTGTAGAACTCAAAGCTGTCATTGGGAGCCATTTTTTATTTTTCCACTTGAACATGGTAAAATTTTATTGCAGTTTCCTTGGAACTTTGTTGCCAGTTTGGAATCTTAAAAATCCTTGAACTTCATCCGTTTAGACATAAAGTTGCTCTTCGTCAGAGATGACTTCTCATCTATGTCCTTTGTTACTTCAGTCATCAACTAACCTGCTTGAAGACACTTACATGGGAAAAAAAAAGGTTTACATATGCAGATGACTATTAAACGTATAACCTGATGTAACTTGTGTCACATCAAATAACAGATTTATGTAGTTTGTTTCACTGGACTTTAGTGCTACTTCATTCAGTATTTTCATGCTTTCCCTGGTCTGTGTTTTATAAAAGATTGTGAATTTTTATATCATTTGAAACCATTGACATTTAATAGGGTTTGTTTGCAAACAATGTACAGAGAAGTTCCTGACTTAGAAACCAGTTTGTTTTTCAGGTTCTTGGGTCAGCCCACAGAAGCCTGCTGCGTTCTCTTACAGCCAAACTGTAGTCCCGTGTCTGCCAGGTCGGGATGGCTTTTGTGGGCTGACTGGAAATTGAACCACCACCGACTATGGTGTCACCGTAAGAAATGCATTCCAGGTTGGGACTTGGGATCCTGAAAATACGTTCTCCTCCCTGTGGTCACCACCTGCTACCTTGCAAGAGGGAAGCCCAGTCTTTTTACTACCAAACTACAGCGGTGAGGGGAGACAGGGACTGGGAAGTTTACAGGACATTCCCTAAGTTGGGAAGAGATTTGATGACTATTCACGTCAACTGTACTTTGGTATAGACTCCCTATCAATTTAATAATAATAAAGCCTTAAATAAAACTATGCATGCTCTTCTAATGTGCTGGTTGATATCAGTAAATAAGCTTATGCTTGCCAGTTTTATACACAATTATGAGGTGTGTAGAACTGACTTTGACAGTATTTTTTGCACTGTTTCCTATCTGTTTTTATAAAGTCTTAGACATTGGTCCTAGTTGATGTGTTCACTGCCCTTGTCATTGCTGTAAAATGTTTCATATGTGCCTTTACAAATGTGAGATCTTTATTCTAACCTTTTTGTAAAAGATATCTATTGATTTCCATATGCAATAAACCTTTTTTTTTTTTTTTTTCAGAGAAAACAGTTCAATTCTCTCTTCTGTCCTATATGTGTCTGTTAGTGAAAAGCATCTCCATCACTTACTCCTGGGATCATTTTCATAGGCAAAAGCACAGAACCTGTTTTTAAATCGCCAGAAGGTAAATGCACACGCCAGAAAAACAGAATGCACCTCCCCCCCAAGGGGCGTGGCCAAGCCACAATCTCTTTGCCTTCATTTCCCCATCCTGTCAGGACCCTAGGCACATATACCCAGCATGTTTTTCAAGCCACCAGGGCCAGGATTTGAACTGCTGTTGGCCATGCAGGATCCAGCTCCCTTAACCACCAGACTATGAGTCTGACCCACTTTTCTGGGTTTTTTTTTAGATTTTTGCTGTAGGATGCATGTGCTCACTGGAGAGGGAGAGAGAGACAGAGAGAGAAAGAAAGCAAGAAAGCACCCCAAGGTGATGGCCATGCTGCAGTTCCTTCTCCATTCTCCTCTCGGGATCTTGGGCATGCTTGCACACGTACCTGGTGTGAGTTTAAAGCCGCCAGGTCTAGGACTCAAACCGCTGTCAACTATGTGGGAGTCAGTGATGTAATAGCTATTATGTCATCTGTTGGTCCCAGTTTGTTTTTTAAAGCCCATCTGTTACTATCCTGTATAACCTAAGCATACTGTAGATTTAGTTTGAAATTTCTGGTCATGATTGTTAGAAGAAACCTGAAAGGGATGATCACTAACTAGTTAAAAAATAATATTCTAGGGACCAGCAGTTGGCGTACTGGCCTGTCACTGGACTCCTATGTAGTTGACCACGGTTCGAGTCCCGGACCCAGTGGTTTAAACTCACGCCAGGTGCATGTGTGTGCGTGCCCAAGATCCAGAGAGGAGAATGGAGAAAGGATTGCAGCGTGGCCATTCCCCATGGAGGATAATTTCTAACTTTCTGTCTCTCTGTCTTTTCTGGTGAGCGTGCGTGCCCTATAGCAAAAACCTCTCCAAAAAACAAAACAAAACAAATATTCTAAATATGCTAAACCCCACTACGTGCAGTAAAGTGTGTTAAGGGATGTCTGCGTGTGAAGGGAGGAAAACATCAGATTTAGAGCAGATTTCATGCAGTTTTCAGGTCATGGCTATGAAAGATAATTGAAGTGTAAACTCCATCAGGTTTTCCTTATGACTTAATGAGGAAGCACCTCTCTGGACTGTAAGATACCTTCCCAAGAGAAACATCTGCGCATGCAGAAGCGTGTGCTGAGGCCTTCTATACAGTGGTTGCTAACAAACAATTCCCCAGGTTGCTGCTGTCTAGGCTGTGGGGGCCCAAAAGAGCTGGATTTCTGCTGGCCAAGTGGGTAGAGATCACTGTTTGTTCAACAACACAGGGTTGGTAAGGAAAATTTTCCTTTCTCATGCTTCCCCTGGAGTCTTTCCAAAGGAAAAAAAAAAAAAGTACTGCACAGAACAATCAGCGTATGAGAAAGTCTGCTCTCAGATAGATGGAGGGGAAAAAGAAAGCAGAGTATGCACTCCTTTTATGCATTGAGGGGATACTAGCCATGGAGATGTGCAACACGTTCTTCTGCCAGGGAGGGCCAGCCAGGTCACTAGATTGTCCACCACAGATACTTCTTTCTTCCCATCCTCCTCCATAGTCACTGTGCTGGGAAAGCAACTGCAGAATGAAGAGGCTGCCTGACCCACTCCTGGGTAGGTGACTGGGGCTCCCTGGCTTATGGAGAGCATGGGAGGGGTCACGTCCACTTCAATCCTGGGCTTTGGCCACCACTCAAATTCTGCTGCATTTCCTCCCAGAACAACCAAAATAACAAAGGCAGTCCTCCCAATGGATGGAACACACAAACCTCAAATACTGTTATTTTAATTTTCTATCATCATTCAAGTTTGTTCAGAACATTACAATAGGCATGAAGGAAAAATATAAGTGCATTTTAAAAATGCAATCTGTCCAAACGAACATTTGAAACCATGCCAATCTTACAAAAAAAAATTTGTTTTGATATTAAGGTTAAAGATGAAGACCAACCAAATATGGGATAAGCAGGGCTTAAGTGCAAGTGTTATCATTCCAATTATTTTTACAGAAATGTGAGAGTGATGTGCAAGATTTGAAATATTCCAATCCTATAAGGTGTTCGAACTAGAAATGGAATCTGCCATGTTGCGTAGTTTCAGTGGCTTTCAATTTCTTGTTTGATCTCAGAAATATATGGATGATCTTTGCCGTGAGCTACTTCCATGATCGCAATGGCCTAGGAGAGAGTGAGACGAACACAGGATGAGAACCCAGATGCCCACCCCTCACACTGCCTTCCCTACCAACGTGAATTCAAGTCCGACTTCTCTTTAAGCCCGGGATGCACGCTGGCTTTTAGAGCTATGTTCCCCTCCACAGTGTAGCTTTTTAAACAAAGGAGACAAGATCACCTGATAACCAACTGGTGACCCTGTCTCTCTACTGCTGAATAAACATTCTGCAAAAATATTCAGGTAGTAGCTGGAGAGAGAATGTAGGGAATTGATTTCAGACATTCTTTTGCTCCGCTACCCTCACTATTTCAGTGAACAATGCTTCAGGGACTGAATTACTACTTGACTGTGTTCAGCCAAGAAAACACAATGGGGGAACTGAAAGTCCAAAGTAAACTTTACATCTTCTAAGCTGTCCGATGTGGCCACACCATTGTTCCCTTTTGAAAAGTGCATCTTTTCCTTTAAGGACCTATTCTACAAACTTGAAAACCAGTGCAGGTTTTATTTGGGGAACGCTAGAGAAAACAAACATGTTAACCAGGTTTCATGACAGGCAGTGTGACGTGGATGAGCTTCCAGTGCTCCATCATCTAGCTGTGTGGTCTGGAGCAATTTACTCACCCACTCTGCCTCATTCTCCCCATCCGTACGAGAGGAACATCGGCATTTCGGGGCTAAGACGCGAAGCGTTTAGTGCCTGGCCTTAGGACGTCTATGTCAACTGCAGTCTGTAAGAATTGATTTTGCTCTTCTGTATTCAACCGTAGTGTCCCCAGAAGAGTCTGCAGTGACTCTAGCAATGGGGAGTGTTTGATGGCCTGTGATTAGGGCTGTGGCAGTGCATGCACCAGAAAGAGACAGAAAGCAAGAAATCACCCCCCAGGGTGGATGGCCATACCGCAATCCCTTTTCCGTTCTCCTCTCAGGATCTTGGGCACACGCACACACGCCCGGTGTGAGTTTAAGCCACTGGGTCTGGGACTCGAACTGCAGTTGACTACATGGGAGTCCAGTGATGTAGACATTACGCCACCTGCTGGTCCCTGGCAGGCATTCCTTGAACACATCCTTGCCCTAGACCTTGAACCTCAGGGGCAGGCTGTCCAGTGCAAGCCTCAGAAACCACCTGTTTTAGATGCTTCCCCTTGTCCTCGGCAGTCACTTCAACACTTGTGTTTCTCGTTCAGATCTACCCTACCCTTTACTTATCTATTACTTTACCCACTAGAACTTCACAATTCTGGCCTACGTGGCTCATTTTCCCTCAACCTCACTAGATGGCAAACACGTTACCTTACATTCTGGCTGGGCCCTAACCCTGCTATTTGGAACATGGGACCTTGCATATCTCCCCAGATGGTCTACTGGGGTACTTTGCGGAATGTGAAGGTGAGTCTATGGTCCCAGCATTTATAAACAGTCTTTTACATGAGTAGACTATTCCCCAATGGCACCATATGAATTGTTAACTTCCATATAAGGAACCATAAGCCTCAATATTCAGGATGATGGCAGGAAGATGTGTCAGGCCTGGCCATCTGGGCAGCACAGGACAGCCTCGCGCACTGAGAGCCAACACTGCCCAGGGTCCTAGTTCCCTTGTGCTTTTGAGACAGCGTGGGTAGGAGGAGCTGCAATTTCTTTCCTTTTTTTTTTTAATAGATTTTTGCCTTAGGGTGCATGCGCTCGCTGAAGAGAGATAGTGAGAGGGAAAGTGAGAAATCATTTTGGCCACTCTGCAATCCCTTCTCCTCCTGGAATCTTGGGCACACATGCACACATACCCAGCGTGATTTGCAAGCCACTGGGTGGAGGACTCAAACCTTGGTCGGCCATGTGGAAGTCCAGCACTGTGCCATCTGCTGGCCCCCATTAGAAGCTGCAGTTTACTTGGAAAGACTCTGAGTGAAAGCTCCACTTTATACCCCTGGTTACTTAGTCTGCTTGAACCTCACTTTCTTCATCAGAAGATATTTTTATGAGAATTAATAGAAAAAAAACAGGGCCGGCACCATAGTATAGTAGTTAAACACTGTGCTTGAGGAGCAGATCCTACACAGCTCACCACAGTTCAAACCCCAGCCCTGAAGGCTTGGTAAACATGCTAGGTGCATGTGCACACCCAGAATCCTGATGGGATAGAGAAACAGAGGAAAAGGACTGAGGCCTGACCATACCCCATTGGGAGGTGTTTCTTTACCAAGCACATGTGCTCTCTGATGAGGGGGAATAAAAACAAAAAACGTAAGGATCCTGGTGTATAAATGGTGCTCAATGAAGGGTGACAAAGACACTGGGTGCATTTTAGAAACTACACAGGCACAGCCCTAAGGCCGAGCAACTCTCCACTGCCAGCCCCCGACTTTGCCACAGGTGGGCATCATCATTCTCTAAATCTTTTTTTTGAGATGCTTTTGCTACAGGGCCCGTGCACTCGCCGGAAAGACAGTCAGAGAGATAGAAAACAAGAAATCGCCACCTAGGGGGGATGGCCACGCTGCAATCCTTCTCCTCCATTCTCCTCTCAGGATCTTGGACACATTCGCACACACGCCCAGTGCGAGTTTAAGCCACCGGGTCTGGGACTCAAACCACAGTCGACTATATGGGAGTCCAGTGACATAGCCATTACGCCAACTGCTGATCCCTATCATTCTCTAAATCTTAAAGGTCCGATAAAAGGACAAAAGGCCTCACCACCATTTCTGGCCCAGCCAGCAGCATCTGTCTACTTCCATGTCTTGCAAGGAAAGGTAGTACCCCTCTCCTTGCCACGGCTGAGCCTGGGACCTTGGCCAGCTCTCCTGACATATGCACCCCTTTCCTTATAGGAGGCCTATGTACAAATGTGGCGTAGGCCCAGCCACTTATTCCAAT